TGGTTAAACCAGGCTTCCAGGATCTAGCAAGCGTGAGGGACTGGCGGGCTGTTGGAAATGCCCAGCTGTCTTGGAGTTCCGGTCCCTTTTACAGCAAGAGTGGTGTTCTTTGGGGAGCCGGGGAAATTCCAGATGCGGGGCAGTCACAGCTGTAATCACCACATTGTGGGGCTCGGTGTTCAGAGCTGACACCACTGGTACTTCTGGCATTGTTTTCCAAACACTGCAACCACTCAGGGGAAAGCCCCTCACCAAACACTATTTTTGTTCTTGAGGGTCTGACCTCGTGTCTCCCTGCCGCCTCCCCAGGCCCCGTGGACTTGGGCAGCAGAGGGCCGGATCGGTGATGCCCACTGCAGACCTCACCTCCTCCAGGCAAAGGCACACCAGTTGCCTTTAGGTTCCCTGGCGAAGGTTCTGTCGCTACCTCATTGAACCAGTGAAGGAGGAAAAAAAGAATTTGGTGCCAGATAAGGCGACACTGAAGCGTGCAGGCAGGAAATCTGAATTCGACACACCACATCTAAGGAGGCTGTTATTAGAAGCTCTTGGCAGAGCCAGGGAGATCGAATGCTAGTGAGAAGCAGATTTGAGAATAATTTAAAGCTTAGCACCAGCCCGTCACACGCTCCCTTCTGCGTCACAGAGGATGTGCGCGGTTAGCTGAGCTTGCCGTTGAAGCGGGACGTGCGGACTTGCGTGAGAAAAAACGAGGCAGGGACTGCGAATTAACAGCTGTTTAATCACTCAGTGGAGAAGTTAAGGCTCAAGGAAATTGTAGGCTCATTGTTAAAGTTTTAATTATCCAAACAGCTGCCCATCAATCACATGGCTTAACTCTCGGGCCACGCAGAGGCATCTGGTGGAGTCGGTCACAAGAACCTCCGACAGGAAGGAATGGCGTTGCTAACTCTTCCATCCAGAAGGCGCTCAAGCAGAGATGGAGATGGCCAACAGTGCTGAAGAGCGTCAGGCTCAACGGAGTCAGTATAACCAACTCACACCTGGGCTTTCGAATTCTTTGTTGTTTGGCTCTGTGCGCACAGCCGCAGGTTGTGGGAGGGTGAGAGTAGCAAGGGGGTAAGTGCGCACACTTGAAATAACTTCTTGTGTTTATCCAGGGGACTTACCCAGACTAGCTCCTGCCCTTTCTGCTCGTTGCCAGGGAAGCAAAAACTGCAGCCTGTTGTAACCTCAGACCTTTTGCCTGTGTCTGGCTCACCTCTCCTCTGGGAGCCGGGACAGCCGTTGAAAGCCCATCATATACGTGGTGGTGATAGAGCCCAGCATGACTGATGTGACACTCAATTCGAATCAGTGCCCACACTGACAACCAGCACGTGGACACCAGGAGTTGATCTGGTGGGAGCTCCAGGCTCTAGTTTGGACGGATGGAATTCCAAACTGCAAATATTCCGTTTATTTGCTAAGCTCTGGACAAAGTGCATAATTAATTTAGGAGACCCCCTCAGTTTCTGCAGGTTTCTGTTCAAATGTTCTCTTATCACAGAAGCCTTCCCTGCCACCTGGTACCAGACAGCACTGCCTCCTGCCCACCTGTCACCCTCCTCCTAGCAGGTAGCTCCACTTGAAATGTATTTGTCCGTGTATTTGTTCTCCCACTAAAATGTACACTCCGTGAGAGCAGAGGCTTTGTCTGTTGTGTGTTTTGTGATATCTTTAGCACCCAGAACTGTGTAGGGCCTGTAATATGAGCCCGATGGAAATTTGTGGAACAAATCCAACAATAGTAAGAGGCTTGTTGAAGTGGCGTGCTGCCCGTCTATCCGTGGAAGGGCCTCATTCCCAGGAGAGAGCAAGGTGCCCTTTAGAGCTGCTTTCCAATACTTAATTTCTTTGAGCAAACATTTCCCCAAGGGAGCCTTTGGTCCCGGGGCTTAAAGAGCACAGTCCTGCTCCCTCAGGGTTTGCAGACTGTGGAGGATAGAGACATTTAAATTAAATCCATCCTTTAAGATCCAACTGGCATCAGCCCCTCCTGGGAGTCCTTCTTGAACACGCTCCCTCCCCAAAGCCAGGTTAGGGACCGTTCTGCCCATTTCCCAGCGTCCTGTGCAGAGCTGTCTCCTGGACTGTATGTACAGCAGACAGACATCATACGATATGCTCTGTTTCCCCTTAAGAGCGAGGATTATACCTTCCTCATTACTGAGTGTAGTATCTGACACACAGCATTCGACGAACACCAGTTATCCTTTTATCACCACTGTTACTCTGTGCATTCCGTGCCCAGCATTTCTCTAGCTGTGTATGTGTGTCATCTCAGTTTACAAACTATCCGTTCTTCAGAGGACAAGGAAGGCATAGAAGCAGCTCTGTGTTACGTCATACAGTATTACATAGCGTTAGACTCTCTAATAGTCCCCTCCTCACGCTCTCCTGGTATGCTGGGGATGCAGCGACCACTTAAACTGGGATAGGATCTTTACAAAGAGTTCTTAGGGGGCTTCCTGTGCCCCCAGCTGCAAGCTGAGGCCCCGAAGCACTTTAGAAATTATTTTCCAAGTGCGGATGTCAGACACTCCTCTGAGCCCGGAGCTTGTGCTTGATTCCAAGAAGACTGAGGAAGTCACAAGCGTTCTCTCGATAAATACTTGTGGGCTCATGACATTTTGATGCTGCCGCTTTGATGTGGCTGTTTCGATTCAGGGCTTCAGGGACATTTTGTCATGGCCTGAAAAACCAAGCCACTAAACACGCAGCTAAGAAGTGCTCCTGGCCACACTGCTGGATCGGTGTGCACATTAACCTACCGTCTGTTTTCACTTTGAGATGGTTGCTTTGATGCCTGGCACTTTGGCTGCAGCGTACGGATCGTGCCAGCATGTTTGGTTTAAATGCCTGTTAGTCTCACTTAAATGCTAACCATGTGCCGGATTCTAACTCCGATGGCAGGAGGAATTCAAACGAAGCGAGAGGCAGGGGAGAACAATCTCAAGGGGATCGTAGGGTGAAGCCAAGGGCTGGCTCAGGAATACATTCACTGTTTCAGAACACATGTGACCTCCATTCTTTGTTGACCATTTCCTGGTTTAAAGTTTCAGATGACTGGCTAGAAAAATGTTTAAAAACATAAAAAGATCCCGATGCAAACATAGAAATATGGTCTATCCATGTTAAAAAGATCGTTTTGATCATTTTTCCCTGCTGTGTTGTGAAAAGAAGTTTTCTGTCTGTTTCACTTGGTGATGGGAGGGGGCGGTGTTCGTTGCTCGTGGTCGGAAAGGCCCTCGCACCTGCTGTGAGCACTCACGTCCTATTTTTCTTTCTGGACGGTCTGAGTGATCGTTAGCACACACATATGTCAGATGGTCAGAGAATGTCCCAAAACTAACTAGACGAGGAGAAAATTAGGCCATTAAGGGGAGAATAAGAAGTTTATATTTTGACTAGTATTTTCATCCGGCTATGCTACCAGACCATGCAACGTTGTTCCCAATTTTAAAGCATTTTGGTAGCAAGTATATTAAACAGCCTGTTGTGAAAAAGGAAGTAGTTGTATTTGGGTCCCTGGCCTTAATTCTGAGACTGGAAGTTAAGCGTGGTGTATTGTTGGAATGGTGGTGCCTTGGGTAGGTCCCCAGAGTTAAATGTCACCCTTGTCATGAACTTGATGAGTGTTGTGTGTCTGTCTCTTCTTCCCTGGAGAAAAGAACTACCCGGGCCAGACCCCGCCAGGCCCCTGCTATACGCTATCAGGTTTAATTTGCACAGGGCAGGCATCAAGTCCTTCTTTCTGCATCCCACACAGCTGGCAGGCGATGGAGTCAGGATCTGAAGGCTGGGTTCTTTGATTCTAAGACCCACGCTGTTTCCATTATAACCAGTGATTCCAAACCACTGGTCTTCCTGGTTCCAAAGGAAGACTTCTCCAGTCTGTGGTCAGAATATCTGGGCGAGGCTGACACATCACTCTCTTGGGAGGCATTGCCGTTTATCCAGAGACCGTGGCCTGTTTTTCCAAGTGTTAAAGATTTCTTTTCTTTTATCACATGATGGTGGTTGCTAATGGCAGCTAACAAAACTGTCCTAACTTGTCAAAGTGAAAAATTGGCCTCCCTGGGTCAATCCCCAAGCTTCAATATGAAATCTTAATGGCCTGGGAAATGACAAAGCTGGAAAAAGAGGCAGTGTACTCATTACCCTGGCCGGGGCTCCGTTGGCAGGCTGTCAGCACAGCTTGGGTTCATATGGGGTTGATCTGGCAAAGGGCTGGGCTGCCTCCATGAATGAAGGCAATCACGTGCTGCTTAAAGCCACACTTCTTGGAGGCTGAGGAGTGCGACTCCTGGGCAGTTCAACAGAGTCCTGATAGTTCAAGTGACCTTTGAAGAACCACAATGGATTGATTTTTTTTTTCATTAAAGTAGCTAAACCATCTTTTTCCAAAAGAGAGGTAAAACTTGGACTACCAGCGTTTACGACTTTTCTGTGTCCAGGATGGGGAAGGTTTGAGTTCAGAGGCATTTTAATTTAGCATGACTGAGGCTGTGACTCTCCTGACCGTAGATTATTCAAAAGTCACCTTTTTGCTGTTGATACAAGAATGAAAGAGCTCAGGTTTTGAACCCAGACACATCTGGGTTTGAATCTCCATTTCTTTTAGCCTTGAGACTGTGGGCAAGTCACTCTCTGTGGAATGGGGCACGAATACTTGCCTCCAGGAGTTATGTGGTGGGCAGCTCTTGGAAAAACCCTCCCACCGCCTGCGGTGTTCCTTTTCTTTACTGTGATGATAAAGATCAAAGGGATGGAAGCACCTGGCATGCAGGTGTTCAGGGTGTCCTAGTGTCCTGCCTGTGGGTGAGCTGGAATTCGGGGTCCCCTGAGTTGCTCTGGGTTTTATTTTCCTGCCCATGGTTCCAGATTCCCAACTGTGCCTGGAGGAGGCCAGTTTCATTTCGCACTACCTGAGCCCCTCCAACTGAACAGGGCAGGTGGCCAGCAGGCTCTAACCACTGCCTTCCCTTCTGTTTTAGTGCCAACAACATGCCCAAGCAGGTGGAAGTGCGAATGCACGACAGCCACCTCAGCGCAGAGGAGCCCAGGCACCGGCATCTGGGGCTGCGCTTGTGTGACAAGCTGAGGAAGAATCTCCTGCTCACGCTGACCGTGTTTGGTAGGTGCCCACCTGCCCCGCTTCTCTGGGTCTCTCCTGGCTCTGTGGGAAAGTGGGTTCTGGCAGCCAGCCCTCCCCCATGCTCTGCCTACGGCCTGGTTGGCCCAGGCACGGCTGCCTCGATGATATAATCTTCCCCTCACCTGCCCTAGCCATTTGTTTTCCTCCTTGCTTCTCAAATTTCAGTATGCATAGAAATTTCCTCCGAGTGTGCCAACATGCAGATTCCCAGGCCCTGCTTGCTTTGGGCCCTCGGGAACAAGGCCCTGGAATCTGCATCTTAACGAGTCTCTTAGGTGATTCCAAAGGAAGTGGTCACTGTACCACATTTAGGGAAATACCTGTATCAAGATAAAGACAACAGTTGCCCAAAACCCCACCAAGAGGGCTCCGAGGTCTAACCTTCTCCGAATGCCTCATTAACTTAGGTTCATTAGCACATCAGCTAGTGAGGTCAGTGTGGACGAGGCTTGTCCACACGCCTTGATCGCTCCAGCTCCATCTCGCAATTTTGCTCCCCTGCTTCAGGCCTCACTCAGGCCATGGGTATCCTTTGTGTGACTGTTAATACAATCTTGGTCTTAGGTTTTCCACCAGGGTTTATTCAAAATGGGGAAAATTGCAGTTTCTTGTAATTACAACCACACCCTTTCCTTTCTGGATCCCTCCCTCGTTCTACACACAGCTCTCAGGCTATACACAGAAGCAACGAGCAATTGTCTCTGCCCGCCCCTCCCCACACACACCCTCCCTTCCACTCCTTGAGCCAGTCATCTTGAATGTCAGTGGTCTGGCGTCAGGACTGGGAGCTTGCCCCAGCTGATTCACTGAATAGAAGGAGCCCACAAGAGTGGTGGAGTTTTCCCAGGGTTGCCCTCCACATAAGAAAATTTCATTCATCACAGGTCTTGAAGGAGCACGTTTTCTCATCTGCGGAAGAGAACAAGATCAGGCTTCCAGCCACATTACTCCCTTTGCATCCCTGGAGTTAACACCATAGAGGCCATGTACCTAGGATCCCCCTCCTTTCCTTACAACCAGTGGTGCTATGACCTGATTTGTGGTTTCCACAAGCGTGGTTTAGTTTGGCTGCTGGTTTGGAGAGAATTGAAGTTTTTCTTGTGGAATCCCTGAGTACGTAAAGGGAGACGCTCTGGCCGGCATCTCTGCCCAAATTGTTTCCTTTAATATATTACGTATTTTTAGAGACCCTCCTTGATCTCTCATAAGATCAGCAAGTGTAAAGATTATGAAAGAGGACATAGAAGTAAAGGACAAAACTCCTAGAGTGTGGGCCACGGTGAAATAATTGGAAGCCGAAGAAAATAGAAGAAAAAAGGAAACTCCACCAGTTTGGTCCATCAGATGTTCCTATTATCTGATATTCAGTTAAAAAGGGCAGAAATGCATTAAGCAGCGTGCCGTGTGGCCAGGCCTAGGCTGGGAGGAGAAGCAATATCTGGCACTGTGTCTTATTTCTGATGACAATCTCTGACTCTACCGTGGACGATATCCTCAAAGCAGTTGGAGTCAAGTTGCCATGTCATACTTCCCGGAAAGCCTTGAGAAGGCTCTCCTTGCCTCTTCTAGTGCTGCCTTTTAGAATAGTTGGAGGTACAAAATATTCTTCCACTAGCCACCAAAATCAACTTCACTCATCTTGTGGTATTTTTGTTGCATAGTATTCATCATCTGATAATGGAGACGTATGAGAAAGGTCAGTGTCACTGAAATAAGTCCCTGGAGCTATTTCTTTGACTAGGGCAAAAAATAAATTCATATTTTTCCCCCTTCCTTCTAGGTGTTGTCCTGGGGGCAGTGTGTGGAGGGCTTCTCCGCCTGGCATCTCCCATCCACCCAGATGTGGTGATGTTAATAGCCTTCCCGGGGGATATCCTCATGAGGATGCTGAAAATGCTCATTCTGCCTCTAATCATCTCCAGTTTAATCACAGGTGAGCCCAGCTCTGGTGCCCGGCCAGGGGGCGTGGACTCCTCCCCTGGGTTTTGGATTGACCGTAGAAACTCAGTTTGGTTGAATGAATGAATGAACGTGACCATCTGTGTCGTTTTACTCCAGAGCCTTGGTTTTCTGTCTCTAAAATGAGGATAATCAACCTTAAAAAGAAAGTTTGCCATCTATTGCTATATAGTCCATCTGCGTGTCTAGCAACAAAAAATGAAACAGCCACATGTTAGAAGTGATGATACCTGTAGTGATTTTCATTTTTAATGTATACTTTTTTCATTTCCTAAATTATATTTTGTTCAGGAAGTGATAACAAAGGTAATAAATAGAAAAGGAAATTTTCTCTTTACTATTTAATTGGGTGTAGAGGGAAGTGGGTATTAAAAATAAATGAAATACTAGACATGAAACCGTTCGAGTTTTTCAGAAGAAAGGTCCCCTTAATGTGCAGGTCATGTTCACTTGTTTTTGGCTGAAAGAATTATTTTCTTTGAAGGAATTATTTTTCCTTTCATGGACTTATCCTGCTAGTTTCCTCCTTACCAAATAATAATGTTTGGACAGGGTAAAAATTGGTGTAGTTCAGAGACAAACTCTGAGTTGAGAAGGAGAAGCTGGGCTTTGGTTTATATTTGGGTGTCAATAAGCTGGGTGACCTTGAGACAGTTGTCCTTCTGGACTGTGCACCTTATGACGGAAGTGACTCTGCTGACTCCAAGCGATCCAGATGCTCTGCCAGGTTGTTCCACAGTCTGCTAGATAGTTGACCAGAGAACCCAGTGACTGGAAGCCCTGGAACCCGGCGTCAGGAAGGTCCTATCATCCAGCCCAGATTGAGTGAAGCTGTGCTTTCGCCTTAAATGCTCCTTTCTAAACCAGAGAAAATGTTCCCTTCTGCCTATTTAACAGATGGGACATTGGCCATTCCGGTAAGGAAACCCAGCTTCCATTGGCTGGAATCAGACTTTAGCTTGTAAGGAGAAGAGGGTCATATATGGGTCAGCTTAATTCAGAAAAGTTGACATCAATGACTTCCTCCCTCACGGCAAAAAAGACCGATCCCCAGAAAGGGGTGCAGTCATTCTGTCTAGTAAAAGCAAGAACCGAAACCAGGAAGTAGAAAAATTGAAGAAACAACTGGAAAAAAACCCAATGAAGGCTGGAGTTTTTGTGACTTGCCTGGAATTTCCTCCAGTAATCACAGAGCCTCCGCGGGTGCTTTATGCACGTGTTCTCTGAGCCCTCCGCGAGGCTGGGAGATGTGGGTCTCCAACTCTTCACCTCAGGGAAATGAGAGGGCTGTGCGGAGAGCACTGTTCCTGGCTCTCAATTTCAAGGACCAGTGATGTGTTCAGAAGACGTTTTGAATACGTATGGCTAAGCTTTTTATTTTCCCAAGTGAGGACATTAAAACAAAATAATAAGTAAAGAACTAGCGTGTACCAGCACCTTCACTTCATAAAGAAAGGCTATCTTAACACCAAATAAGTGGGAAGGGCATAACCTCAGAATTAAACATCGAATATATTCAACTTTATTTTGGCTCACTCTTACAGAGCCAAAAAAGCAGTCAGTGACCAGTTTATAAACTCTGAACCAGGTGATCTCCATCTCTCCCCAGTTCCCTAGCATCTCAAAAATGTCCTTGGAAAATAGAATTGTAAACTGTAGGATTGACCAAATATTCCATAGGAGGAGGTTTAATTAACCATTAATGCGTTTCAGTCTAACGGGAAGTCAAGTTACAGGTGTTCAGAGATGGGTAATGAACAGAAACAGAATTAATCCTTCTGGATTTCTTTTCAACCCAGGTTTGTCGGGCCTGGATGCTAAGGCGAGTGGGCGCTTAGGCACGAGAGCCATGGTGTATTACATGTCCACGACCATTATCGCCGCGGTGCTGGGCGTCATCCTGGTCTTGGCCATCCACCCAGGGAACCCCAAACTCAAGAAGCAGCTGGGGCCTGGGAAGAAGAACGATGAAGTGTCCAGCCTGGATGCCTTCCTAGACCTTATTCGAAACCTCTTCCCCGAAAACCTGGTCCAAGCCTGTTTTCAACAGGTAAAGCAGAGTTCTCGTGTTCCTGCTTCCCTACGCTCCTGAGTTACCAAAGTGATAACTTGCAGACTGTTTCAATGAGCCAGCTCTGGGGAGCGATTTCTTTAATATTTCATTCTCTCTGTCTAGAGGTTGTTTGAGGTGTTCGGGGCAGGATTTGGGGATTGGAGTTGCGTGTTTCTTTTTAATCTTCCCTTTGTTTCCTCTCACTTAATATCTCTTTGCTCTGGGATCTTCCCTCTCTCTTGTTTCTTTTTTCTCTTCCCTTCTTTTTGGTTCCTGTCTCTGTTGTCCAAGGGCACATTTTTTTTTATTGTGGTCATAATAGCTTATAACATAGTGAGATTTCAGTGTACATTATTGTTTGTCATACACCATAGAAGTGTACCCCTGCACCCCCTGTGCCCACCCTCCACCCCCCCTTCCCCTTAACACTAATTTATTCTCTCCGTCTGTAAGTTTGTTTATCTTCCACATATGAGTGAAATCATATGGTGTTTGTCTTTCTCTGTCTGGCTTATTTCGCTTAAGATGATGCCCTCAAGTTTCATCCATATGGTTGTGAAGGGGACAATTTTGTCTTTTTTATGGCTGAGTAGTATTCCATTGTATATATACCACATCTTCTTTATCTGATCATCCATTGATGGGCACTTGGGTTGCTTCCATGTCTTGGCTATTGTGAATAAGGCTGCAGTGAACATAGGGGTGCATGAGTCTCTTTGAATTGTTGATTTCAAGTTCTTTGGATAGATACCCAGTAGTGGGATAGCTGGATCATATGGTATTTCCATTTTTAATTTTTTGAGAAATCTACATACTGTTTTCCACAGTGGCTGCACCAGTTTGCATTCCCACCAGCAGTGGATGAGGGTTCCCTTTTCTCTACATCCTCTCCAACATTTGCTGTTTTTTGTCTTGCTGATTATAGCCACAGGCACATTTTTATCACTTTTGCCCACAACCCTCTAGAATACCCAGCGAGTCTCCATCTCGGTGGTACAGCAAAACCACACGTGGTGTGTTTAAAAAATGCACATACCCTGCAGAATCAGGATCAGCAGGATGGGCCCAGGGGTGGTGTATTTTTCAAACTGTGAAGGTAATACATGAGGATTGTGGAAAGTTTAAATAGTATAGATACATATCAAGTAAAAATTCAAGTCCCCACTTCCTTTCCTTAGAGCTACCCATGCTGAGAATTTTGTTTCCTCCCATGTATTTTCTTTGCCACATGTACATGTGTATATGTGTATAATCTTTAAGAGAATTCAGCCCAAGCGATACTGCATGGCATACATTGTTACACCTTGCTTTTTCATTTAATGGTGTTTTAGCGTTCTCTCTCTCTCTTTCTTTTTCTTTCATGGTGCATAGTATTTCTAAAGGATACATTTTTAGAAGTTAAAATGTCCTACCAGAGAGTTTTATATTTTGAATTTGCCAGATGTTGCCAAATGGTCCTGTAAAAGCTTGTAGCAATATATACTCCTACCAACTGCATACAGGCTTATATATATTTTAAAACCTTGTGATTTTCAAAAACAGATGGTTCTGCTGAGTGGAACCCATTAAGACAGCTGCCTAGGCCCCACTCACTAGCCTGTTGTCCAGCCCCAAGGCCAGTTTAGGTTAGAACCCACCTCAGTTCCCTTTAGACCGAGTGGGAGCTAAAAGGGCCGAGGAGCTTCCTCCAGCCATTTCCAGGGACTCACATGAGTGACCTTAGGAAACGGCTTGCTTAGGGGAAAAGTTTGTACTCCCAGCCGCCCTCCAGATGCAGTTGCCAACCACTGCGGAGCCCAAATTACTCTGGGTTGGGCTGTATTCTCTGATTTCCAGTGCCACTTTGGGGCACTTGTGGTGTGGAGCTATATTAAAGGAAGCCAGTCCCGGCGGGGGAAGATGCACTGGAGATGAATAGAAACAGGCTAGGAAAGGAGGCGCTGACTAGCGCTCTCTCTGTATAATGTGCTTGCCCCGCAGGCTGCTTAAAAAGGTGAATTTGCTTTCTTTGGGGTGATAGACAAAATTGGGAGCCAAGTCTATTCTTAACATTTTGGAGAGAGTATTCTGGAAGTGCAGCTGCTGGGAGCTGAGCTGGTAGAAGACTGGGGGTGGGTAACATGAGAGGCACAGGAGACGGACAGGTTTGGGCTTCCTGTCCGTGTCCGGTCACAACCGTGCTCCATGCAAGAAGGAGACCCCTGCGTCTCAGTCAGTAGGGCAGGACCAAGAAGAGGCAGGCAATCGGAGCTGATGCTCTGGTCTTGGACGGAGTTTTGATGGTGTCGCCCAGGCTCATGCTTGCTGACCTGTTTGGTCGATGGGCAATCTCTGCATACAGCTGCATGTGGCAGGACGCCCTGTGTGCCATTAGAGTAGAGGACCGAGCTGCTCCCTCCCCACCTCGCTCTGCACCCGCAGCTTTACTGGCAAAATTCGTCTGAGGAGTGAGCCCTAGTGCCTCAGCTAAGCCTAGGGCCGAGGTCCCTTTGGGTTAGTTCAATCAGAGGAAAAGTAGTTTAGAATCTTTAGCTCAGGTGAGGGAGGGTGCAGATTCCCCAAGCCGGACTTCAGGCAGCCCAGAGGAAAGCATCTGAAACTAGTGCAATCCCTTGGGCTTAGGAGGACCTTGAAGAGGGTCCGAGACAGGGAACTGTTAGAGAGTGCCATCGTCTTACCAAAGAGAGGGAGCTGGAGAGATGCCTTCCTGTCATGGACAGCCAGAAGTGATTTCAAATAGCCTCTCAAGGGTGGAGGGTGCTTCACTACCAGAGATAGACACAGACATAAAGAGAAGGTGAGCTGTCCCCAGAGCGGCGGCTGTCTGGCCCAAGGGGGCGGGACCTATATCTTTAAGAGCAGGGAGACCTCTTGCTTGCTGCTCTGAACCAAAGTGAGTTTTCCAATAGAGCAACGGGCCTAAGGTGTGGCCTGACACATCTACTCAAGCCCAGTGACAGGGACCACATGGGGTCTCCTCTTCCAGGGAATCCAGTGCTGTGTTCGCTTCTTCAGCCGATGGCTTGTGTGTGCCTCCTGGGTGCCAGGCTCTCTGCTGTGCACAGCAGGCCGTGGGGACTGAGACGGTCGGGCTGCCTGACTGTGGAGCTCACTTACGTTGTGTGTGTCGGGGAGTGGGGGACGGTGATAGACCAGAACAAAAGTCAGGGAAACACACAAGATACTTAAAAATTAGGATAAATGTGCTCTGCGGGCTGGAGGCAGCATGACGGGCTAGGAAGTAGGTGGGGGAGACGTCCGAGCTGAGACAACAGGCGTCAGAATGAGCCAGGCTGAGATGAGCTGGGGGAAGAGCCCGAGAGGAGGCATGGCCTGCGGAGGTTGGCAGGTATTTGGTGTGTTCAGAGAAGGGAAGGGGGCGTGGAGGCAGTGGAGGAAGCACAGCCCAGCTCAGGCAGGACGTGGTAGGCCAGGGTCAGGCTTGGGTTCTTATTCTCAGAGGAAGGGAGATGACTGGTTTCCTCATTTTAAGAAATCAGTCTGGAACTATGGATATGCACAGAGCTCCAGATAGGTGTGCTTCCCTGGTGATTGCAGGTGGGCGGGAGGAGAGGCGGGCAGCTCAGGGCGCAGGCTTTGCTGGTCTACCGTGAGCGGCCATGGCGGCCTGGACTCTGGTGGATGGGGCTTGGCACCCAGATGGGGCTGTCCCACCCCAACAGGCTCTGAATGGAGAGCAGGCAGGGGACCAGGCCTGCGTTTCAGTATCCCTACCTTTTCGCTTTCACCTTAAGCCACTGGCCTGTGCTATTTGGAAGTCAGATTTTGGTGTCAAACATAACTCATTTTGAATCTTGCTTCAGCAACTAACTAGTGTCTGTCCTGCAGTTAGTTACTTAGCCCTGGGAGCCTTGAGGGGTTCCCGTGGACGTAAGAGGTAATAGATGTCAAGCGTGGCGCACCTAGCCTCCCACCTGATCCTGGCGGCCACCATTTACTTAGGCCCACGACCATCACTCCTATAAACGCAGGCCTTGGCTGCTTTAGCATTCTCAGGATAGGTCAACAGCTGGCTTCTGGGCCCCCTCTTTCCTGGGAGAATGCCTGTTGCTCACGGAAGCCTCTCTTCTGATCACTGCTGCGTTCTCTCTTCATGCCGACGTCGCCCAGACTGAGCGGTCCATACCTGCCCGTTCTCCACTCACACGCCCGGCGTGGGCTTCCTCCCTCCCAGCACAGGTGCCTGTGGCCAGGCTGGAACAGACAGTTCCCTGCCTCGCCTCTCCATCTCAGCGAGCTGGTCAGCTCTGCGTGGCTTACTCTTGGACCCAGCTACAACAGGTTTGGGTCCGCACAGTTTATCAAGCAGCGCAGGTGGTGGAAAGAACTCAGTGATGGTCAGGCCATCTGAGTTGAAGTCCCAGTTCTGCCAATAACTCTGTGGCATCTGACAAGTTGCTTGACTTTTCTCTACCTCCTCTTCCACGTCTAGTTGCGGTTCAGCTGTCTGTTGCCTACTCTGTGCTGGCACTGACGTTCTAGGATTCTGCATGAGTTCTATTTTAATGCCCTTGGAGGTAGTGTTTCTCTGGGCTGAGATGTAAGTTTTCACAGTGCTCTGCATGCAGGGTGCCTGGCACCTTTAAAAATAGGACGGCTGCCGCGGATGTCGAGGAAGAGCCTGAGAGGTTCTGGGGAGACCGTTTGCACAGAGATGGCTGAGGAACTTCGAGCAAGGCTTGGAATTACTGCCCAGAAGGAGCGGCTGTCTTCCCCTCTTACATTCGGATCTGAAATATAAGCCAGTGGCCCTGCCATGGTGGCTGCTGGCAGCTGGCACATCTGGCACCCAGAGGGAGATGCCCAGCACAGCCTGGATCTGGAAGGAGCCCAAATGAGAGTTGGTCTGTGAAGACTCTGCCCGACAGGAACCAGGCAGGAAGGAACAAAATAGGCGGGTTGTGAGGTGCTATCTGGCCCCCGCCAAGACCTTTGCCTTCCTGTTCTTGACCAGTTCCGGGGCCCATCACAAGGGGCCAGGAGGGTCCTCCAACTAGGCTCACAGTTATGAAGAGCGTCCATGATGGACGTCGACATCAGAGAATGAAAGAAGCAGAAATCCATCTCCCAACTTGAAGCTCGCGTCGCGTTACTGGATCACGCATTACAAATAAATGTTATAAATCTTGTAATTATCATGCGAGGAGGACAGTCATCTCCCACTGTGTTTGTGCAACAAAACATCACCTTGTCAAGCAGAAACATAAAATATTCCTTAATTTTCATAACTTTGTTTTGATATTTCTTAATTATTTTTTAATATCCTGGGATCTTTAAAATATGTAAGCCGCCAGGCTTTTCGTGACTTTTAGACCAAAGCTCATCTTTATTTTTCCCCCCCTCTCCATTAGATTCAAACAGTGACGAAGAAAGTCCTCGTGGCGCCTCCGGCAGATGAGGAGGGCAATGCCACTAATGCTGTCATCTCCCTGTTGAACGAGACGGTGACAGAGACACCTGAGGAAACAAACGTGGTTATCAAGAAGGGCCTGGAGTTCAAGGACGGCATGAATGTCTTAGGTGGGCAACCTGGTGTTCCTCTCCCTGGTGGAGGCGCCTCAGCTTCCTCAGCAACGGCCAGCCTTCCCTGCATCTCAGCACCTCGGCATCCCTCACTCCCTTCTCAGAAAGCCGATTGCTCTGCTGTCCTCTAGGTGGAGCAGGAGGCTCTCTCTGGGGAGGGTCACTGGGACTGACAGCTGAGAGATGAAGGAAGAGGGAGATGGGCAGGAGCGAGACCATGAGGGGACATCACAGCTCAAGCTCGGTTATGGGAAAAGAGAGGGGATTCACATTCATCAGGCGCGTGCCCTGACTTTCTGTGTGGCACTGGCAAGTCACTTTCTCAGACCCCATTTCGTAACGTTACACATCCTGTTCTTTTATTTCTCAAGCATTTTTTTTGAGCTGCCCTTGTGTACCAGTGCTGTGCTGTGCATGGAGGAGCCCCACCCCAGCTCTCACAGTCTGTAAACAAATGCAGTGCTGTCAGGAGCATAAGGCATTAGCATTGGTGTCAAAAGGAGCTTATCAAAGGAGATTATTTTGTTTAATTTCCTGGGATTCCAGTGAATCCTTTCCCCTAGACTGGAGCCTTCTTAGCATGCCATCCCAGAGGTTCTTTGGCTCTGCAGTTGGACAGACCTGGGCTTGGATCCTTTATGGACCACTCGCTGGTTATTTAACTGTAGGCAAGTTGCTTCACTTCTCTGAGCCTCATTTGTCAAGTGGGGATGAGATTGGCATTTCTCTTGTAGATCATTATGAGGATTAAATGATACACGCCATATGCTCTATTCGCATGAGCTACTATCATTATTAAAAGTGAGAGGAGAGCTGAGGGGCTCAATCAGAAAACACCCCCAATGGAGGATGGAGACTCGCCATCATGTAGGTGACTCCAATTTTCCCAGTTCTCTCCCCACCCACCCCCTTGGTCCACTCCCCACCATAACCCTCATCCACCATTAGAATGGTGTCCCCAAGACAAGAAAGAGGGATATTTGGCCATAAGCTGGGAGACATGGGGAATCTGGGTGGAAGAAGTATGTTGACCTATGGAAGCAAGATTTCTAAGGATTTGAATGAGAGCTGTTTAGAAATGGATGAGCTCAGTGATCCTTCCACTTTGCCCTCAAGGAGGTTAAATGCCCTGGTCTCCTTAGTAGGGTTGTCAGATAAAATACAGGATGTCCAGTCTCAACTATTGCATGGGACATACTTATGCTAAAAAAGTTATTCATTGTTTATCTGAAATTCAAAAACTTAACTGGTATCCTGTTTTGTTCTAAATTTGATAAACTTGCCCCTTACTCATCCAGAATGGTGGAGAGAAAGAGGTAGAGGGAGCAGGATTGCCTAGCCACTGAAAAATGGAAGCTTTATGAAGCTTTATTGGAGGATCGTTTTGTCTGGCCCAGCAGGAAGCAGGTTGGGTGAGTGGGAGTGAGGAAGGAGATAAGCTGATTAGGCTGCCAGGCAATGGGAGATCAATAAACACTGCTGACAATCAGTGGGAGGTGAGAGGAGGAAGGAGAAAGTGGGAGAGCTCCTCTGAGAAGGAGGGATTGCAGATATCCTCGGCATCCACCCCTGAGTGGCTCTTCTCCTCCACTGGCCAGATACCCACAACCCTTTCAGGGCCTTCCCAACTCCCCTTGGGCTCTTTGCGCAGGTCATAACGAAAAATCCAATCTGCGAAGTCAAAGTGGCCCCACAGTCTTCTTCACACTCTGGGGAAGGTTGAGGCCATGAGTAATGGGGCCAAGGCTTTGGGGTGAATCATTCGGAAGACTTTTGAGGTCGTTTCCAGAGTCTTGGTGGATTCTGGGAAGTCACATGATCTTTGGCTGTACTGGGGAGTTTCAACACAACTCACTACTCTTTCAACCCTAATGACCAAGTCTAAGAGGGCTTTGTTCAAATGAAACACCCCTGATCCGGTGAGTGAGTTCTATGAGGTGATGTTTATAGAGGAAATGACAAGCTGGACATGAGTTTCCAAGTGCAGATGGCAACTCTGGAAAGCCAAGGGAAGTTAGACTGTTGAGAAACTTCCCATTTACAAATCATGGCTGCAATAAGGTTCTTTCCATGGTCTTCCAAGGGTGGAGATGGTGGCTTTTTTGTTTTTACTTTTGGCTTTGGAAAGTCCCGAGGATCAAACGTTGCAATGTGAAGATAAAGCCCTAGCCTCCCACTTCTTTAAGGACTCATTTCTTTCCCCAAAAATCCTCAGACCCACTTCTGGGTTCCACCCTAATTCCAACTGCTTAAATCAACTCCTGCTAGAGATTTCCCCTTTCAGTATCTCTCTATTGTCCTGATAGATGCGGCCAGTTTCTGCAGACGCTGAGATGGGAGATTTTTTATTACTGTTCTTTGGGACTTTGAGACCTTGCACATTTTTTCTTAAAATTTCCAAATGAAATTAACCAAGTAACACTAGCTATTCTCGGCCAGAATGTTCACAGATTATTTCTCACGACACTCCTAGAAAATTCCTCGCCTTGGGCTGAGAGCAGGGCTTTGGAATAGCCTGGATGTGATGTCATATGTTACTGCAGAACTGGGCCACTCTCTCTCAGATCCAATTCTGACTAAACCTTTGCCTGTCCTGGGCTAAAAACTCACTTGTAAGTCACTTGTCAATCTTTCTGGCCAGGAGCTGAAAAGGGAAAATATTAAATACCAAGGATTAACAGTCCTGAGGGCAAGTGCTGGATTCTTTCTGCTAAAGAGAGAAAGGGTCCTGTGAAGGGTAGTGAACAGTCTGGGTTATTATGGGCTTGGTGTGGGGAGGCGAGTGGTTTTGGTGAATAGGGAAAAGGCATAATCAGAAATTCGGAGAGGAAGCACTCTCTGCTAAGAGAATCAAATTATAAAGCTGTGTTTACTGATGTAGCCCAAGACTCCAAACATAACTGGACACAGAGGAAACTGGATGTAATAGGGAGGGACTGGAAATGAGGCACTGCCAAATCGGGACAGGGTGGATGTGGGGACAAGGAGGGAGAGAGGGAAGAGAGGATGCTCCATACTGCAGTTCAGAGAAAAGGCAGATGGGCAAGCAGTCTTGTAGCCAAAGAGACAGGTACAGTGATATGTAGTCCATGTAAGTAGAAAAAGTCAGAGCCTCAGGACTGACAATAGTGGGTCGGGGTGGGGAGGCCCATGGGACCGGTAATCAGAGATTCGGACAGCCCCCAGGCAGTATTGGGGATGTCTGTTAGCCATGTAGTGCACCCCAGTCCCTCGGCAGGTCTGGGTGAGACTCCCGTCCGGGAGGTGAGACACTGAGGGAAAAAGGGGTGATGGCAAGAGAGACTCTTCTGGGCAGAAAGAAGCCAGGCCTAGCCGTGGAGGAACTAGAGTGTAAGGCAGCCTCCCAGACGGATGCCCAGATGCAGGGAATGCGGCAAAAGCCAAGAGAGAGATGAGACCCAAGGCGGGTGTTGGAGTTGGTCCAGGACTTGGGCAGTTTGATGTTGACGTCAAGGTGGAGACAGAGCTCCTCATATCCTTCCGGCCTGGGCTTGGGGTTGACCCTGGAGGCTGAGGGGGACTGGATTTACATGGAAGTCACGGGATGTCAAGTGAAGGGAGAACAAGTCTGAGGGGCCGGGAAGTGGTAAAAGCTATGTTCTCTTTATTCTTCTGAAAAAATGAAAAAGAGAAGCCTTCTAACCATGTTGACCATGAAAAGAATTGTGATAAATTAATAAATAATAGGTTAAATCCAAACAAACTGGGTCTATTGGGATTTCCCAACTGTTCCGGATTTTGCATTGCTTTCCATTTGATGTTTCAACATTCCTCCTGCCTCTCACATTAGGCAAGTAGCAATAAAAAAATAATTTTATGTTTAGGATTTTTCTAGAGTGAAACATTCCACCCAGGGATGGATAACACCAAAGCAATATAGCCTCAGCCCTGGCAGAGATTTTACTGGCTAATTGGTCTCTGCTATTCAAATATTGGCTCCAAAGGTTGCGTGATAATCCCCAAGTCCCAACAAGCCTGCCTGCGTTAATCTGTGTACTAACGGAATCTGCTCACACATGCTCTCCTAAGTGAGGACGAGGAAGAAGAGAGCACTTTTTCGTTTGGAATGAAAATGAGTTCATTTTCTTCAAGAAACTAGCAGTGCTCCAGTCCAACTTGCTTGTGTGAAAAATGTTAAGGAAAGCCATAATTATCCTGGGGAAAGGCACTTTCAGTGTGAAATAGAATGCTTTTGTCTTTTAATGGCTGATTCATGGGATAACAGGCAGTGAGAACATGGCGCCATACATGGGGAATGGTAAAGAAGGCCGGAGAAGAAACACCTACTTTATAATCTGTCCTTCTGTGTAATGTGATTCACCCAACAGGTCTGATAGGATTTTTCATTGCTTTTGGCATCGCCATGGGGAAGATGGGTGAGCAGGCCAAGCTGATGGTGGAATTCTTCAACATCTTGAATGAGATCGTCATGAAGTTAGTGATCATGATCATGTGGTAAGTAGGCTAGCTCTTACTTCACTGTGGTGCGGGGGTGAGAAGGTCTTGGGGTACCCAGAGGATACTGGAGCCCTCCTAGCAGGAAAGGGCGGGTGGGTGTGGACCAAATACATTCTCTTTTTTGGAGCTTCTCCTAGAAAATGGATCAGAAAACTATGGCCCGTGAGCCAAATCCTATCCACCAAGTGTTCTGCATGGACTGGGAGTTATGTAGGGGTTTTATGTTTTTATGTTGCTGGAAAAATATCAAAGGAAGAATCTTATTCCACAACACATAAAAATGATATGAAATTCACATTCGGTGCTCAAATACAGCTTTATGGGCACACAGCCACACCGTTTGTTCTCTTATTGTCCGGGGGTGCTTTTGTGCTAAATGGCAGAGTTGAGTAGTTCTGACCAAAACCGTGTAGCCCGCAAAGCCTAAAATATTTACTCTTTGGCCCTTTATATACAAAGTTCGCTGATTCGTGTCCTGAAAGAAAAAAAAAAGACAGAGAGACAAGCTGGAAAAACCAATCAGTAACACTGAAGCTGAGCAGGAGCAGGAAAAAGTCAAGTAAACCCAAGAGAGTAGGGATCTGGCGTGACCCAGGGTGCGTGGAAGAACCACGGCTCCCATATTCTGGTGTCCCAAAGCAATGCTTCTTAGATCTGGGTCGCTCATGACTCATAGAGAAGAAAACAGAGGCCATTCTCAGGCCATGCAAGCAAAAGTGAAATCGAGGTGTGTTAGAACTATAAGAGCTCTTGTGAGTGGGGTCCCAGCCTCTCGTTTTACAGAAGAGAAAACTCTCGTCTAGAGACACTAACTCTTGATTCTTTATCATCGTGATCATTATAATAATAGAAGCTATCATTTATCGATTTCCTTTTATCTGCCAAGAGCCATGATAAGTGCGTAACATCCATCAAATGGAATCCCAACAACGTGCAGAGATGGTATTATTATTCCCATTTTACAGAAAAGGCAACTGAGGCTCGTAGAGGTGAATTAACTTACCTATGATTATATAGCTAGAGAGAGAGAAAAACTGGAGTTCATACTGATATCAAAATCCTTGATGCGTAAGTGGGTGGGATTTTTTGTGTGAATCATGTAAGCAGTGTTGTCTCCATTTCCTGTGTGTTTGTGGTCAGTGGTTCTGAAATCCAGGGTAGCCCAGGAGAGCACGAGTCTCCACTCCTTTCATCAAGGAGGCTGTGTGCCTTCAGTCACTGGAAACTTCTAGTGTTTTTACATGCATTTGTTTCAGACCCCTATGATGGTCCTGTATGCCTGCCTAGGAAAAAAAAAAAAAACGTTATTAGACCAAACCACATCTGTGTTCTTTTTGCCACAGGCATTCTGGGTTACAGATTCCCCGTGTCTGCATCTTCCTGTCCTACCCTTCTTCCTCTCTCCTCCTCTGATCTTCTTCCACTTCTGTGTGGTGACTTCCACTGAAATCCTTCCTTCTTTCTCTCTACTTCCTTTCTTTGACCCCCGCTTTCACCTTACCAGCCAGAAATCTATTATTTTTTTCATCACCACAAAACCTAAGCTAGTGATGTGCCTATAGTAAGTTCTTACTAAAACTTCAGGAATGAGTGAGCTAGCTGAAGGCCCCAGGGTCTGAATCAGGAAGACGTTCCTCCTGAGTTCATGAACTATATTTAATAGACCTGGCTTGTCCAGATCGTTGCTTAATTGTACTTATAAAACCTAGAAAAGATGCTAATAAAATAATGCGTTCTTCTCGATTATTGGACTGATTCTTCAACTTCCCAGGCAATACTAGATTTCTGAATATTTCTTTTGTGTGAAGAGTTAAAGTCACACACATAGTGATGCTGTAAAAAATATGTTTAAAGTCTTTCAGATCTGTTGTGAGCCTGCTGAGAGTTTAATAAATGATAATACATAAAGCAGAATAGGCCTCCTGCCATGAAACATTAGGATCTACTCTTGTGTCCTAGAATTTCTAGCAGAGTGAGCATCCTTGCTCTAAATGTGCAGTTCACATTTCTGCATGATGATGCCAGTGATGTGGCAATATATGCAAGTTTCTTCTTTCATCTGCACCAAGGTCATTTCCTCTGAGCCCTTGATGGGAAGGGAATCTTCTAGGAAATCAAATGAGTCATGGGATAAAGTGTAGCCTCCCTTCTCCCCAGGGTTGGAGGGTAGTGTGGATCAAGAAGTTTCCTATACAATGAATGAAAACTCCTAAAGATTTAGCCTCATATCCCGGGAGTGGAGAGCAACTGTGAGTCAGGAATGAGACCTACGGAAGGATTTCTGACAGCTGTTCAGTTACCTCATGCAGGCAGACAGTCAGAAGGGTGTTACACGAGAGGAGAGGCCAAGTCCACACATTTCTGTCATTCTTTAGCTGCCTTGTCAGCATCAACATTTGATAACGATGTGTGTGAGAAGGTTCTGGATAAAACTGCCAACCATTCTTCAATGGACTCCTCAAAGCTTAAAAAATCTTTTGTATTCTTCTCCATGTGGTAGTAAGAGTAGGAATAATGGAAATATAGCATTGAGATTGTTATTATTCTAATAATTATCATTGTTAAATTGTAACTTAGAGTTATTAAATTCTTGCTGTATACTCAGTATTATTTCAGTTACCATGCTCTACTTGTTTATTATTCAAGAGATAATTACTATTTTCATTATACTTATTATTAAATCATAAGTAAGATTTACCAAGTTCCTGCTATATGCTTAATACTATTCCAATTACTTTACCTGCAGTAACTCATTTATTCCTCACAATAGCACCTAGCAAAATAGGTACTTTTGTTAGCCCTGTTTTCCAGATGAGGAAACTAGGCACAGAGGTTAACTTGCCCAGTGTGGCACAGCCTAAGTAACAGGAGTTGTATGGAATTGTGTCTAACACAACTTCTGTCTAACTTCAGCCTGGACTGAATCCAGGATCCTCCTATTACTAGCTTTAGGTAAGTAAGGCATACTCTAAACCCCAACATCCTGATCTGTAAAATGGGTTCATCATAGAATCCATGCCATAGGGTCGCTGTGAGGATTAGGTGAAATTCTGACCAGTAGTCACAGAGCATTCTCTATGTGTCAGGCCCTGTCCAAGCACTTCACCGGAATTAGTATTATTGTTGTTATTTTGTGACTATCATTACTATCATCAACTCAACCCTTTGTTTCTTCATGTTCATTAATTCTTTAAGAAGCCTACATAGGCCTCTGATTCATCAAAAAAAGAAAAACCCTAATTTTAGTGTGATTTTCATATCCTCATTTTCTGCAAAGTTCTTAAAAACATTTCTTTTCATAATCTAAAAACTTAAACAGAAAGTAAAACTTTTTATAATCTAATCACTATAGGAACATAAAACGAGAAGTGAACTCTCTGCCCACTCTTCCAATTCTCCCTCTCAGTTAACCCACCACCACCATCCATCCACCCACCCACCCATCCATCCATCCATCCATCCATCCATCCATCCATCCACCTTCCTTCCTTCCATCCACCCATCCATCCTTCCTTCCTTCTTTCCTTCCTTCCTTCCTTCCTTCCTTCCATCCACCCATCCATCCTTCCTTCCTTCTTTCCTTCCTTCCTTCCTTCCTTCCATCTATCCATCCATCCATCTATCCATCCTTCCATCCATCCATCCATCATTCCATTCTTTCACTCTATAAATATTTTTTGAGTATGCCTTCTGTGTCAGTAACAATTTGAGGCACTGGTGATACAATGGTGAATAAGACAGAGTAAGATTCCTGTCCTCATGGAGTTTACATTCTAGTGATAGGAGAGAGGGAAAAATTAAAGGAAGCAAATAAGAACTGAGAGAGTAAGCAGTGCTACAAAGTCAAATAACAGGAAAGGGCATAGAGAGTGATGGGTGGATGGAAGTAGGGAGTGAACTCTATCAGGAGGGACGAGGGGAGGGCTGTCTGGGAAAGTGACTTTTGAGGAAGACCTGAAGAATGAGAGAGAGGCAGCTCCGTGAAGAATTGAGAGGGGCATTTTCCAGGGGAGGAAGCAGCAAGTGACAGGTTTTTGAGGGTCAGAATGAGGGTCTGGAGTGCGGTTGGTCGGTGAGGGAGGGATGGAAGGCCGTGAAGTTGGAGAGGTGGGCAAGAGGCAGATCCCACAGGCCTCTGTGATGAGTTGGAGTTTTATTTATTTGCAAAAGGAAGTCCCTGGAGGGTTACCAAGCCTGGAGACTCTACAAACTGATTTTCACTCCATCCTGATGAAAAGTTCTGATCCACATATGGTAACTCTCAGCAAAAGTCACTCCTTGGATAGCCAGAACACCTTTCCCTAGCTGGACTGGAACAAATGGAGATTTGTGTTGCTTCCAGAGCCAAAGTACAGACAGCACCTTTAGGTAACTCTTGGGGTGTGTGTTTAAGTCTTTATTGACAGACTTTTCCAATTCTGAGTTCTCTTGGGATCCATCACAAACTGGTAGGCTGGCGTTGCTGTTGGAAACGTGTGCAACTGAACCAAAGTGGCTTTAGGGCAGGACTGAGGAAGTCCCTCCACTTACCTCCATTCCAAGCATTTGTCCCACAATCTGTCCTGTGCCTAAAAGTCCTGAATTAACTATTTTAGTGGGTTAAAACCAAAGGCCTTAATTGGAGATAAAGTAAATGGTTTCCAAAGGCTAACCTAGTAATATCTACATTTTTTCAGTTGCAGATCATATTTTATTCCTCAAAACACTGATTTCCAAACACATCAGAATTACCTGGGAAACTTGTTTAAAATATAAATGCCCCAAGGCTAGCTCCAGGAAATTCTAACTCAATAGGCATGTGGCGGCCCGGGGAGTCCATGTTGTTACCAGGCAGATCAAGTGAGTCTGAAGCGCGTGTCTATGAATGCACAGAAACACTGACTGAATTCTGCGTATGCTAAGTGCTGTGTTTAAATTTGTGATTTTGGAGTAGAGAGCAGACCTGGGAGGGGCATCTTGGTGGGAACCTTAGGATGATAAGGACTGTGAGTGGAGGCAAGAATGGATGGTACAACAGTAAGAAAAAGATACAGCAGCCCAGTCCTGGATGAATCAGTGGCTTTGAAAGCAGTACCTAGAGCTGAGGACACAACCAGTCTCAGGGCAGCATGGAAGCCATTCCCTCCCCATAGCTTTATAGTCGTGTCCTTCTGATTTGGAAACTGGGCCAACAATTACTGAGCATCGCTTGGCTTCAGAACGCTCACTGGAGCCCTCAGCCTCTTTATGCTCTTTGGTTCATGGCTTTGTTTGTTTGTTTCACCTCAGAAGCTTTGAATGGTGACCTTGGACCCTGGGCATTTGCCATTTTCAATGAGATAATTCATTATCATGGAAACCCAGGAACTCAGAAGGTCCAGATTCTGAGTGGAGGCTTAAGCGACTTGTTTTAAAAACAGGTGCAGGAAAGTAATGTAAAAGGCATCACAGAAGAAAGGCTCTTTCCTTTTCCTTATTAATGCTCATCCTAATCTGGGAGACCGAGGTGTTTGGGTTAAGCAGGGCCCCTGCCTGCCCTGTTGATTTACCCTAATACGCTGCCTTATGGCCTTTGAATAACACTCCATTTAGAGTGAGAACTCATGTTTCTCCCAGCGAGCTGAGTGCTCCAGAGGTCACCTGTTACCTCTCTAACTCATTTGGCTTAGGATCAAACATGTTCTCCAGGGGGACTCCATAGCCAGGCTTCCTAGGCAGAAGCCCTAAAAACATTTTATCTCAGTTCTACAAACTGCTTGTCTCAGAAGAGCAGGAAAATGGAATGGCACCCAAAACAGCTCGTATTTGCGTTTTTTTCTGGACATCTTTAAAGAGCGATTGGTGCTTGGGAAAAAAGCAGTCTCTTGGATTATGAAGATAAGTGCCTATTGGCTTTATTGGAAGATGCGTTCTGCTCGGTTGTTTACAATTCCGGTGGACAGAGAGGCAGCCCCTGAGACTACCCTGCCGCTCTCTGAGGTGTTGTGACCATGGGCGCACCAGGGGAAAATGTAAAGTGGTGGGAAGGCCAAGGATTTAATGACTTGGCTCCCTAACGCCTGTGGACGCAGCCCTCAAACTTTGGCCAGCCTTTACCCCAGGGAAAGGGTAGCTGGGAGGTGCAGGCTAGATGCTTCTCAGGGAAGAAAGCAGTTATGCTAACATTCTAACTAATGAGTGTCAGTTACATACCAGCTCTTTCAGGAGAAGCTTCCTCTTGAGATAATATATTGCTCGTAAAAACATCCACAGTTGGGTGACGGCAGCCCGTGAGGTGTTTTAGAAAACCTCATTAACTCAGACTTGACTCATTAAGCATGATGATGAGGGGACATGGGGTATATGCGGGAAGACAGAACATACAAGGGACTCCTTTGCCAGGAGTCAGGAAGCAGCGCTGCTGACAAGGATGGGGGAGGCGTTATGGACAGTGCAGACATACGCACGTTCAAAAACGTAATCCTTGCAGCAGCCCCATGAGCTTGGAGTGAGCCTCTCTGAGCCTTGACAAGCTCATCTGTAAGTGGGAAGATGTCACTAACTAAGGTCCTGTAGCTGGTGAGTGGCTGGATGAGCTCCATGTCTTGCGTAACTGTGTCTATGACTCTCATCTGCTCCTCACAGCTTTTCTTCAACGCAGGAAAGGGCTTGCTTCAGGCACAGTTGCAGAAACAACCAAATCTGGCTTCGGTGTCCCTCTCCCTTTCTCAACTCCCTTAACCCTGGCTGGGAGCCCCATCCCGAGACTTCGTTTTCCCCACAGTGGTTCTCTGAAATAGGTTCATAATTCTTAATAAGGTATCCACCTTCCCACAAATATTTTCATTTTAGTCAGAAAGTATCGCAGACTGAACAAGTTCATGCTCTAACGACACCAGATTGGGCAAGAAAAAAGGGATGTTGCCAAACAGGCAGAAAGTACACTCAAGATGAGAGAGAACAGGGTTGGCTTGCTCAAGAGTGCAGACAACAGGCAACTGTTCCCAAGCTCTCCGTAAAGTAATACTAATGTAGAAATATAGAATAAGCTTACACAGGACAAACTGTACATGGAGAATTGTCTGCTGAGCTACAAAGAGCTATGATTGCTCATTAAAGAGAAGTGGTTTGGCTTGGTAGGGAAAAAACCCCAGTCGCGGAGTTTCACAGATCTGAGATTGCTCTCGTCCTTCTTCCTGGTTTCATGGTCCCGGGCCGGTTACTTAAGTTTTTTGAACCTCAATTTCCTCATTTGCTGAGTAGGAATAATGATACCTAGATCTTAGGGTTGTGGGGAGAATGAAATGAGGCGAAGTGTGTGGTGCTCTCGCCATGTTGCTTGAGACACGATGAACGGTAGTCAGCACGATTGTTAGAGTAAATGTGGAGAGGAGGCCTTTCAGACTTAGAGGTAATCAAACCGCATTTCTCTCAATGTACTCTTTGGCTCAGGTGGTTTTCTCGTTTTGGCAGATCTCTCTCTGTCTGTCTGTTATTTTAATATATTTCCTATCTTCTGAGGCAAAAACAAAGCAAATTTACAAACACCAGTTGATGGCTTGGCAAAACTCTAATGGGCTTTCTGAGAAGCTCCAAATTTATTCCAAATTTCCAAGGGAGAAGCTGAGGAACAGAGAAATCAAAGGAGAGTCTCAAAGACACAACCTGTGCGTCTCTCAACTTTAGCGCGGTGCTTACCTAAGAGATGGTAAAACTTGTCTCGGCTATTCTTAAAAATAACTGAGCAACCAAGCTTGGCTTTGGGTTTTTCATTAGAGCGGGGGCCACCAGATCCGAAGAACAGATTTCAGATATGGCTGTTGGTCTGAAGGAAAATATAGCATCTGTTGAATCTCATGACCTCATTCAGCAAAGCTCTCTGTACAGAAATGGGAAGGGTATTCCTAAGGGTGCAGTCCATGGGAGGGCCCAGATTTAAGTTCTGAATCCCATAATGATCTCTTTATTTTTTTTCTTTTGTGTTTTTCAGGTACTCTCCCCTGGGTATCGCCTGCCTAATTTGTGGAAAGATCATTGCAATCAAGGACTTAGAAGTGGTTGCTAGGCAACTGGGGATGTACATGGTCACGGTGATTGTGGGCCTCATCATCCATGGGGGCATCTTTCTCCCCTTGATTTACTTTCTAGTGACCAGGAAAAACCCTTTCTCCTTTTTTGCTGGCATTTTCCAAGCTTGGATCACTGCCCTGGGTACTGCTTCCAGGTAGAGAACACCAGAAATCACCTTTCTTTCTCTCTGCTCACTTTTTTGCCCTCTTTGCCAATTCCTTTTTTTCAAAACCCTCCTGCCACAGAGTTCAATGAGAACACTTTTCACATGTTATTAAAATATTTCTGAAAAAGGCGAATGCTTTGTATTTTTGGCTCATTCTAGGAACTTCTGAGCTTTCTGATGAACATCTTTGCTGGTATGCAACTGCATTGGAAACATGATCTCATATTAAATTTCCCAGATGAATGCGTGCTATTAATCTGCATACCTAATTTGCCATATGTAGTATTAGTTTACTTTTAAATGTTTTCCGAAAGGGTATAACAGGATGCTATTCTATTTAAGAAGTTCTTTCCCCAGTGATCTGAAAAATGCTATAAAAAAAATATCGCTCTATGGACTAGGTTTTCGAAAGCAGGAGAACGAGCTTTTGCAGGGTAAATGGAATGTTAGGCAGGAGTTTTCAAACAAACCGGAAGTCAGTCCAGTCTTTGACCTCTGCGTGAACCTCTAACGGACCATTCTGCTCCGTTGATTTTGAGAAAATCAGGCTGGCATTGATTTGACTTGACACCCACTGTGAATCCGTTCCTTTTTTGTTACCTAGTTCCAGTAGCCCGGAAGCCAACGAGGACTCCAGGGATATGCAGAGAGAAATATTTGGTTTTTGATGTCTTCTGGGACTGAATTTAGCAAAAAAACAAACAAAAATACATGAGAAACACCCGGCAAGTTAGAATTTCAAAGACTAAAGGAGTTTTATTCTTCCAGCCTGCAATAGTTGTCTATATTTCTGCACGTGTATCCTTGGATTACAGCACCAAGACTGGGGTCGCAAGGCAGGTGGCAGGGCAGCAGGCTAACTCAGCAGCCCGTAGCTCAGCCTTCTCTCTGGAGTCGCAGCTCCTTGGGGCAGAGCCTGGGACAGTGCACTGCTAGTGAGGTGGCTGTTCGTGACACGGGGTGACTGCAGTCCCAAGGCTCCTGAGCAGCAGCCAGATTTTCCTTAAATGACCTAACAGGCCGATAGTGGTGATGACCTGGGAAGCCAAATTATATTTTCTTGCAAATCAATGAGAATTTGGTGCTTGTAGAATGTGAGGTTTCAGGAGAGGCTGCAATATATACGATCCTGGGGATCTAGGTTCTGCATTCAGTTTCCCAAGATGAAGGGGAACACTCTACTCCCAAATTTCCTATTTCCTTCTTGGTCCTAAGTATCTTTTTTTTTTTTTTCCTGAGGAAGATTCTCCCTGACCTAACATCCATTGCCAATCCTCCTCTTTTCTTTTGCTTGAGGAAGATCAGCCCTGAGCTAAGCTAACATCTGTGCCAATCCTCCCCTATTTTTTTGTATGTGGGATGCCTCCACAGCATGGCTGGTGTGCAGAGTAGGTCTGTGCCTGGGATCGAACCCCCGGACTGGGGCTGCTGAAGCAGAGCACACAGAGCTTTAACCACTACGCCCACTGGGCTGGCCTGGTCCTAAGTATCTTTATCCATAAAGATCCTCTCTCTTTGGAGAAAAATTAGATCCTTTTTTTTTTTTTCCAAAATAAAAGCTATCATCTTTAGTTTTATTTTTGTTTTCTGGTTATGAACCTATGCTCATATTTGCTCATTGTGAAAAAATTCAGAGTGAATAAAATTTTGAAGAAGAAAATGAACGTTAATCACAGTTATTGTGTGACCAAATGATAATTGGTAGTAACCCTTAGTTAACCTTTACAGTGTTATGTCTTTCCAGTTCTTACTATGTTAGATACTGTAAACTGCTGTTTTTCACTGGTCAACAGATCATGAAAGTTATATTATCTATCAATATACCTCTTTCTACTATTTTTTAAACTGCATGATAATACACTGCCTGTGCTGCAATACAACCCCACCCCACCCTGTGACGTACGCTTAAGGCGTGTCTATTAAACAGGGCTGTGACAGGCATCCTTGTAAATGCGTCTCTCCGAGGTTGTCTGATGATGTCCTCAGGAAAAACTTCTAGAAGTGGAATTTCTGAGTCCAGCGGAAAGCACATCGACGATTTCAAACATCACCAGATTGCTATTCAGAAAAGTACACTCGCTTATGTTCCACTAAGTGGGTGTGAGACGCGCCCTTCCTCACCCACTCCCGGCGCTCAAGAGGATCAGTCACCGTCACACTTGCCAATCTCATTGGTGAAAGATGATCTCATTGAATATGCATTTCTGTGATTCCTCGTGAGGGAAATGTCTTTCTGTGCTCTTATTGACTGTCCTTCGCCCCCCGCCCTGTGAATTGTTTGTGATCTTAATTTCCTGTTGGGGTATTCATCCTTTCCTGATTGGTTTTCAACCCTCTTCATGTCTAAAAATATTAACTCATGTATCATGTGTTGCAAATAATGTCCCTCTCCACTTGACATTTGTCTTAAAAATTTACAGTGCTTTTTGCCACTAGAAGTTTTTAATTTGTACATTGTTGAAACTGTCAGTATTTTGCATTAGTATTTAGAATTTTGATTTTACTCAAGAGCATCTTTTGATCTTTAAACTATTTCAAAAATATTATGATTATCTTTTCTTTGACTGACTAGACAATTATTCCAGTATATTTATAAAACAAAGTAAATCTTAAAGGCATATGGATGGCCCAAATTTGTATTTAAATCAGACAAATGCTTGGGTTGTCTGGCCAAGGCCGCAGAGGACCCATTTTCCTCCTTACCTTGTATTTCATTGGAAAAAAGAAAAAGTAGTTTTAATCTTCAGTTAAAATGTGACTTTTGCCTGGATGTGGAATTCCTTTTTTTCAAAGAAAAAGACTTAAGGGAAAAAAGTCAATATGGCAGGAGTCACATACTAAGAATTAACTTTGCCATCATGATCAGAGGGAAAAAACACAAAGCCCCAGGACAGGCAGCTAAACAGCCTTTCTGCCTCCTCGGACGTTGGGCTGATAGGGATGTGGAGGGGCTGACCCCCTGTCTCAGTGGGCACAGAAGCCGGTGTCAAGGATCATGGATGGAGGAGGAATGGCCCGGGACACACCTCGCTGCATCTCTCTGACTTCAGTGCCTGCTGTTAAAACTAACCTGGAAAAAAAAGGAGAATCTCAATTATCTGATACTTATTATTAGCAACATTTGAAGACTGTCATATGGCCATTGAGTCAGGAGCCAAAAAATACAATGACAGAATGTCGGCCAGGCAACGCAGGAAAGAGTTGAAATTCTCAAGTCCCAGTTTGGATTGGCTGGGTTGATAATGGAATTTTAATTCACAAAGCCTGTCCAGTAGAGAAACTGAGAATATTTTCATGCCTTACCAATTATTTTCCCCAATCTATTTAATTGTCTGAAGACCCTATGATAACATTTTGGGGAAATGAATGCAATAATAATAATTAATGTATTCCGGTCCTCCCAGAAGTGACCTTAGATTCATATCATATCATCATTGAGAATCCTGGCCACCATTCGTGGCTGAGCAGACATCTCAGACGAGTCCTAGTGTCCTGGAAACCCTTCAAGGGGTCCTAGGAAAGGGCAGGGTGGGGGAGCTCTGGGGGTGAGAGGAATAAAAGGACGCTAACATCTCATTAAAACAGCTGGGGCAGCAAGCCAGGTCAGATGGCATCCCCACATGTGAACGAGGCCAGACCCCAACTTTTCTCCCTGGGTTTATAAGGTTTTAGTAAGGAGAAGTCTCCAAATATTCGTTTCTTCTCCCTCCCTAAGACCAAGGAGGAGGCATGAGACAGACCCCTGACCTGAAATCACAAAGAATGTTCCAGTAAGATGACTCTGGCTTCCCTAAGGTTGCGATTAGGAGCTCATGGGTCAGTGACTTGATAAGATGCAGATTTAGGCGACCCTCACGGTAGGGCTTCTGGTTCCTTGGTTCTGTGTAGGGCCTGGAATCTGCATTTCATTTAGCTCCCCGAAGCCGATGGTCCTCTCCGACTCTCTGAGAAACCGAGACTTCTGCAGGTGTCTTTGTCCAGCCTGGTGGGAGCCCCGGTTCTGACTACAGGAGGAGAAAGTTCTGACTAAGGCTGGAAGTGCAAGAGAGGAAAAAGTGCCGTCTGCATTGGAGGTTTTCCAATTCACTTTGCTAGGGTTTGAATAGAAAAAAAATCGAAAGAGAAGGGACCGCAAAGCACTCCCATGGCAGTGAGTGTTCTGCGTTGTTTTCCACAGTACTTAAACTTTGAAGCAAATCCACCAGCCCTCCCCCGCACCTCTGTCCACATGGAAATTATATTCTGGCCTTCAGCATCCCTTATGCTTACAAGTCTCCTATTTTAGAAGACCGGTGAACATGTCAGGAGTTCTGGCATTTGAGGCTGCGTCATGTGGCCATGAATTCCCATCCCACGCCCGGGAGGAGTTGGGGTGAAGTCACTCCATATTGGGTCTTTGATTAGCTTTTCTGCCCCGTGTCATTGGAAAGACGGTAGAGTCGGCCAATGACCATTTATCAGGGAGTTGGACTGTCTGTGAAGGTCCTCAGTGAATTTCTAGAAGCTCGGGTTCAGGCTAAATGTGCCGTACATGTTTGTCCAGCATTCTCAAAATTAGCAGGCCCAGCTCAGGGCAATTCCCAGGGGCTGGACGCAATCCATGTAGTCATCTAGTTGGAAACAGCATTTCTGGCATGAAATTATGGGTCATTCAAAAATTCCTCATTCCACTTCACTGTTGACAGCTGATTCTTTTCTGACTTTTTTCTTTTTTTTTTTTTTTTTGCAGCCCAATTAATGTGGGCAATCAAATGGGCTTTAATATTTACTCCAAGATAGAAACAGTGACCAAAGGAAAAAGAGAACTTGAAGCTTTGAGTAGATCTCAAAAACCAGGACCAACAAACATATTTTGCTACCTATTAGCATCGTAATAAGATTGAATTTGAGCCTCCAAATTGCTGGTTTTTAATTTGGCTTGAGACACTGCTTTTTTGCATTCACATTACTTGACTGGAACAAAAGAACAAAAACTTTCTGGTGGCATTCCAGTCTGTGCTTTGTCCTGCTCCTCTAAAGTGGACGTAACTCTTGTCTCTCTTCCTTTCTGTCTTTGTCCCTTAGTGCCGGAACTTTGCCTGTCACCTTCCGTTGCCTGGAAGAAAATCTAGGGATTGATAAGCGCGTGACCAGATTTGTCCTTCCAGTCGGAGCAACCATTAACATGGACGGCACAGCCCTGTATGAAGCGGTGGCCGCCATCTTTATTGCCCAAATGAACGGGGTTGTTCTGGATGGAGGCCAGATTGTGACCGTGAGGTGAGTGAAGTGGGGGGGTGGGGGTGAAGCGCTGAAGGAAACTTTGCCCCGTCCCCTTCCACTAACTCCGTTTCCCGGGGGCCACTTGAACTTCAGTCCCTCTGGCAGAGAAGTGATGAAGGAAATAACAGAGAAGGGGAATTGTTGGCAGTCTCAAAGGGAAAAAATTGTGACAGGAAAGAAGCAGACTCATACTAATGCCTTCTGTTTGTATTGCACATGTGAAATTGCTTTGGAAATTTGCTATTATTTGGTTTTTTAACAAGCTTGTGATGTTGCGAGGCCCTTATTTCTATGCCTACTTAATAGATGAAGAAGCGCAGGCTTCAAGGGACATGGCGGTCTGTCCCAGGCTCCGCGGTTAGTAACGGGCCAGCAGGGCTGTAACTGGGGCCAGCGTCGACTCACTCTGGATCCAGTTTTTCTTTCATTAAGAGGTACTCCCTTCAGCCTTCCAGGAGATAATGTCAGAAATGATGAACTACCGGAAGGAACAGATTCCTTAATACGAAATAAAACATTTTATTACAAACAAATAGTAAATATTTTTGTTTTCACTGAAATTATTTTTACCATATGTATTCATCATTTTAAAAATTCAGAAAGGACACTCTCCCAAGGGTCTTTAAAAACACATTGCTTCTCCCTAAACTTAGAGATTTCACCTGCGTCATATACGCACTTCTCTAACCCTCACACCCACCTGTGAGGTGCGAACTTGTCTTGTTCCTCTTGAGCTGCTGTAACAAAATCCCACGGACCGGGTGGCTTAAATAGCAGATGTTTATTTCTCACCGTCTGGGGTCTGAAAGTCCAAGATCCAGCTGCCGGCAGATTCGGCTCCTGGTGCGTCCTCTTCCTGGCTCGCGTATGACGCTTTCTCACTATTTGCCACCAGCCTTTCCTTGATGCACGGAGAGAGAGCAAGCTTCTATGTCTCCTCTTATGCGGGTGCTAGTGCCATCGTGGGGGCTCTACCCTCATGACTTGAGTGCCTCTCAAAGGCCCTATCTCCACATACCAGTGCATTGGAGATTAGGGCTTGAACAAATCAATTTTGGGGGGACACAGCTCAGTCCATAGCAGTACTGTATGGGAGCGTCAGTTTTCTCATCTGTATAATGGGGACAATAACCACACATTCTAGGAAGGTTGAGCGTATCGTACCTGGTACACAGTCACCTGTCCATAAATGTTTGCACTAGTATTATTACTGTATTGATGTTCAATAAAATACAGTACTCCTAGAATATGAGAGAAAAACGTGACAGTGACATAGTGAGTGCCGTGATGTTCCTCAGTGGAAGACATGCTTCAGGTCAGAGTCTCAAGCTTCCCAATCGTGTCCTAACAGACTACGTGTGAGACTGCCAACCTCCCTTGCTTTAGGACTCAGAGATGAACAGAGCTCCTTCATGAAGCCGCTTCTTTTGAAGCCAAGCAGAGATGATTCCGATCCCTGAATTCTTGGCCTTGATGGTAACAATGCTTCCCGCTAAGTTCACACCATTAGATGAGAACTTAGAGATGGGAGAATGCACCAGTGACCAAGTGATTGGGATTCACTAATTCACAGAGTTTTCATTGTGGGGAGGGATCAAGGGACATGAAGAGCCCTCGTGGCACTGGAATCCAGCAGACGAGTGTTCAGATCCCAGCAGATCGTGTTCAAGCTGCGTGGCCCTAAGTTTCTGTACCCATCCGACCCACAGTTTCCTCATGTGGGAAGCAGGTGAACCTGCTGTAGGTGCCATATGTACCTTGCAGGGTTACCGTGAGGTTCTCCAATGGCAATGTGGGTGTACTGCCTTGCACAGCATCCAAGAACCAGCCCTAGAGAAGTGAGCCTGGGGAGTGGAAGGACAGGAAAAGCAGGAACGGACAAAGGGACAGAAGGGTGGTCACTGCCCAGGACGCTACTGCAGGGCTTAGGACTCCAGACATTCCGCCCGCAGTAGGGTGAGGGTATGGTTGGGGTGGAGGAACAGAGGGGGAACCAACTGCCAGGAAGCATTCCCTTCACAGGATTTTATTCCCCACAACCAAGAGGTGACCAGACAATGTGCCCACAGTGCAAAGGGATGTGTAAGAGTGACTCAGAACAGAAACAACTGGCCTTGTAAATAAAAAGGCCGAGGCCGAGGTCGTTGGAACTTGGGAAGTTCCCCTTCCCTGGTGTTCCATCCACGTCGGGGAAGTGGCTGAGAAGTCCCGCCTTCCAGCTCCCGGGGCTTCAGGGAAGTTTTCATTACAAGGCAGCCTCACTCTGCAGAGATTTCCCAATGAGAAGAATCTACATTGTTTGGAGGGTGCAGTGTACCCAGTCTGTTCTAAGTGCTTTTTATTTATTAAGTCCTGAGGACCCCATGAGTGAGACAACATTATTATCTCCTTTTTTACAGATAAGGAAATGAAAGCAAAAAGAAGTTAAGTAAGTTGCCCAAAGTTATGTAGTTAATAAGTGGCAGAGCTGGGACTTGAACCAAGTTGTTCAACTCCAGAACCTTCAGTGGTAACCACCACACACTCCTCCCCTCCTGTGACCCAGAGGGATCTGAGGAAAATGGCGTTCTCTAACCGGGACACCAGCTCCTTACTGGTGGGGCAGGGGAAGAGCATAGATGGGTTCTGTAGATCCGACCCAGGGGAGGTGTCTTTACTGGGACAGGCCTAAGTCTGGGAAGGATGGCAATATGGATAAATAGCACAGCTTTCGTTTCTTCACAGGTGAGATAAATTCTGGTCTCTCCCGACTGTAAGACCCGGAATGCTGTGCTTGGGCACACTGACGGTCTGGACTTGGTTAAACTCAGTTCAGGAAACTGATTCTCAGGTTGGAGCCAGAGGACATGTTCTAGAAACTCTAGAATTGTATAACTGCAAAGAAAGCAGCCCCCCTTTTCTTTTCAGCACCCACAAAAGCAAGTTGGGAATCTGTATTTTCGGAAACGTCCTTCTGTTTAGAAATGACAGCTTTTATAAATGGCATCCAGAAAAGAGGGAAAAAAAGTCATTATCCCCTGCTGGACCACAGTGCCTGGACAGGGCACCTGAGCCCTATGTACACTCTTCCAGAGACAACTTCGAAATAGTGCTGGGCATGCCCTTAGCATGACCTGGAAAGCAAAGGATGAGATGCTTCAAAAAGAAAACCTGCTGTTAGTGATTTCATTATCATTTCTTGGCGCCCTCTTTCTGAATAATGTATTTTCCAGTCCATGGGGAAACGTCCAGGCATCTGGAGCTTAATGTCATTTGGAATCTGTTGATTTGTTCCCCCGATGTCCACTCCGTTGGGTCTGGATGTTTGCTATTCTGAGTTCTCATGTTAACATTGGCAGTGGCCTCCTCAGACTCTTGCCACGTAGTCCAGAAGTCTCTGGTGCTCACAGAGACGCAGGGGTGTAAGCAGAAATGAATGCAGTGGTGTTCCCGTGGGAGGATTAAGGGTGATTTGTTTTTCTTCTTTAATATTTCCTTGCCTACTTTTACAGCCACGCTTACTTTCTTTGAGCCCTGTGATCTGTTAGGCTAATTGGATGTCATGATATGGGGATAAGGCTCCAATCCATGAGTTTATTGAGCAGAATCCAAATAGACCCTCATTCCAGGGTCTTGGTACTCTAGATTTCTCTACTCCTTGGGAAGGAAAAGGGATTTTACGACTGCTGGGAAAATTGGAGCTTAAAATTGCCAGGGGTGGCTTTGCTGAGGCCTCTTTCTCTTCCCATGACCTGGCCTTCTCTGTTCTCACAGCCTCACTGCCACGCTGGCGAGCGTCGGCGCCGCCAGTATCCCCAGTGCTGGGCTGGTCACCATGCTCCTCATTCTGACGGCTGTGGGCCTGCCAACAGAGGACATCAGCCTGCTGGTGGCTGTGGACTGGCTGCTGTAAGTGTTTGCAGATGGGGTTCTGCTGGGGACATGAGTACTACCTCCCAGGGGTGGACAACAAGCAAGGCTGCAGCCAAGATCTTAGCCAATCCCCATGGCAACTCCCTCACTTCCTCCCTCCCTTCTTCCCTCTAACATTTGTTGAATGCCTACTTGGGAGCCAAAGAAGAAAAAGATAGAATCTTTGAGGGCCTTCCAGTCTAGGGGAGGAATCAGATAAATTATAATACAAGGTTGAAAGCACAGATGTAAGGAACCAACCACTGATGCATGAAAGGATCTCAAAACATTATGTTCAGTAGACAAATCCCAAAAGAGTATACACTGCATGATTCCAGCTGTAGGAAGCTCTAGGAAAGACAGTATAGCCTCTAGCCATAGAAAGAGGTCAGTGGTTGCCCGAGCCCAGGGGTAGGGGTGTGAGGATTAACTGGGAAGGGACATAAGGAAACCTTTAGGAGTAATAGAATGTTCCATGTGCACAGGTATACACAGGTGTCTACATTTGTCAAAACTCATCAAATCTTGCACCTAAAATGGGTACATTTTATTTTTTTGTAAATTAAACTTCCATAAAGTAGGTTTTAAAACAGCACAAACATAAAAGGATAGTGATAGAGAGAGGCACCCATCCCAGTCTTGGTTGGAAGGGCAGAGTGGAGAAATCAGGAAACAGGGAAAATGGTTAGTGAATCTGAGGGATCACTGTGTGCTAGCGACTATGCTGAGCATATGACATCTTCCTCTTATCACAACCTTCAAGTCTGGTCTTATTTCTCCCATTTTATAGATGAGGAAATTGAGGTGTAGGGAGGTGAAGTGGCTTGAGAATGAGATGAGGTTTGACCTTAGGTCTGCTTGGTTTTGGAGGCCAGCACATTCATAATCATGGCCATATTCAAGCGTCTAAAGGCAGTGAGAGCTGAGCGGAATCGTAACTGGAGGGTAGAAGTTACCCAGGTGTGCGGAGGCGGAGGGGGAAATGGGATACTCCAGTCAAGGCCAGCCTGCACACAGGTGCCGAGGCAACGGTGCAGGGGCCTCTGAGTGGAGTATTGTTGGAGTACAAAGTGGGAGGCAGGGAGTGGCGGAAAGTGAGGCAAGATCGACAGCCTCGGCTGCCATGCAAAGAAGATTGAACTTGACTGTGTACACACAGCCCTGCTACCTTTCCCAGTGTATGACACTCACTTCCCATTCACAAAGGTGGGCCGGGCTAGCCAGAGGGTCCCCAGTAGGGAGATTGGAATTGATCCTTGCTAAGGGCTAGTTTGGGCTCTGATGTTCTGTGGATGTGCTCTGATGCCCCCTGTGCAGTCTTGGAGCTAAATGACAGGGTCTGGGGGATTCCAATGACTTCAACGTCAGGGGTGCAGAGTGACCAGTGCTGGCGCAGAGGTCCGAGGCCCAAAATGCCCACACTTATTTTTTAAACAGCCCCACATGCCAGTGACATTTTTCTGACATTTATTGGCATAGATTCTTAGAGCCAGAAGCCACATTTTATGGACTTGAGTTTACCCCATGTTAAAACAAGTTCCTTTCCCCTACACGCATCCTTGCAAAGAGAGAAACATGCAGGTGGCTGAAGGGAGGAGGGACATGTGGGGTCCAGAAGGAACCTGCTCTCTCCGTAAAACTTGCCTGCTCTGGAGGTTTCGGTTGGAAATGAGAAGTGGCTCCCTGGACATAATCTGTTCAATCCAGGAGGGCTGCGAGGAGGGTGCTGCACCTTCCTGACCGATGTTTTCCTTGCCAGACAAAGACCTTGGAAACACCTTCAGCGGAAGGTGAAGGGCAAATGAAGTGACCTCCTATCTGTTCCTGCCAGTCTCTCTCGGGCGGCGGCATGGTCCCTCGTGCTAGCTTGGTTGTTCTCTGTGCCCTGTGCTGGCCCCGAGGGCAGCCTTTCTCAGGACGTCCATTCAGACAAGGCAGCCATGCGGACAGCCGAGATTTGGTGATGGCGTGCGGATGGAAGGATTGAGAGCGAGTAGGATGAAAGAGACAAAGTTGTGGGGTAGGATTTGGTTGGGAAGGAGGACAAAGGGGAAATTAAGACATTGACAATGGTTTGGGGACAGAGCACACAGTAGGAGCTCAATAAATGCATGCTAAAGTTAAGCACAGAGTTGCTGTGTGATGCCCAGGGGCCCTTGCACACAAGAAGAAAGAGGGAGCTCTTAACTCCCACCTGCCTCCCCTGTGACTTTGGTCACTGAGTCCTCTGCCTCTTGAACCTACTGCCCTCATGTTGTCATTGAGCGTCCCCTGCCTGCTGCCACCACATTGCCTAATGTCTTCTTGTGCTTGTTTCTGGGTCCTGAAATCCACCATTAGACTTGCATCTTTTTAAAAATTGTTATTATAGAGGCTGCCCCCCTTCCATTACAATGCCAATGCCTTTAAGTGGAAAAATGCACTCATATTATCAGGAATGAAGAAAAAGAGCTGATATTTGGTGGGTACCGCAATGTTCTTTACATCTGTTTATAGTTAATCCATAAAGAGCCCTATGGTGTGTTTCACAGATGAAGAAACTTGGGATCAGAAGGGTCAAGTCTCCCACCCGGGCCACAGGAGAGCTTGTGTGGCCAGGTCCGGGCCCTTCAGTCCACCCCACACAGCTTCCTAGTTAGCAACAAGCGGATGTCACAGTGGGGAGGAGCAGAAAGTCCAGAGTGGGCAAGGACGAAGACAGACCTATTGAGGTCACCCTGGTTCCAGAAAATTTTTGGTATGACCTGCTTGTTTCCCCTCCCAGGATTGAAATAAAACAAAAAGCCTAAGTGGGGACAGTCAAAGTCTCAGTCACTCTTAGGATTCAAGTCATTTGCTTCCAGGCCTGTTGGATGAAAGTCAGTTCATGAAACATTCAAGACCCTGCCTGCTCTGACCTAGATGTTAGCGAATGGAGGAAGAGGGCCGGTCCGCCTGATTGCCCCACACAGGTGCTCACAGGCTCACACTTGCACAGAGAGCAGGGCGTCCTAACTCCAGGGCTGAAACGTGCTAGCAGAAGGGAGTTGGCCGAGCAAAAAAAGCGATGATACATTCGGATTAACCATATTAATGAAATTGTCTACGAGAAGACGTGATCCCAGGCTGGAGCTGGAAAGGAAGGAGCGAATGAAGAGCTCTCCTCTAGTTCTGGAGTCTGATCTCAGATAGAGGGAGGCCCTATGATCAAGGGAAGAAGGGCAAGGAGGCAGGAACCCTGGGCCACAGCTCTGCATTTCCTCTCTGTAGGGCTTTGGACAAGTTACCGAATCTCCAGATTGAGCTGCGTCATGTGTACGGCGGGAACAGTAATTTATCAGCTTAAAAGCAGAGTCTAGACCCAACGCCCTTGAAGGCCTTGCTAGTTTTAAGACCTGGACTAGGATTCTGTTGGTATTGGATGTTTGTATACAAATAAGCATGAACGTCCCTTTTAAGGAGAAAAGAAAAAGGGAAAGTAGAGGATCCTGGGAAAATGTGCACGGGGATCTGCAGCCAGGTCAGATCTGTTTTGAATTAGTAATGGTGGCACATTCTTTCCCGCCAGCAGGAGGAGTTCTGGAAACACGCTCTTGGTCATGGGCTCCGTGGCCGTTGGGCGCCCATTAGCGTGAGGAGGGCAGGGAGATGAGTTGGACAGTGTGCCGGTCATTTCCTCGTAAAGTAGTCTGTGAAGGAAAAGCAGAGAAGAAGAAAGGGGGGATGTCTTTTTCCTCTCTAGGTAAGGTTTGTAAGCTTTCATAACTCGAGCAATTTTCCAGTTTTAAAACCAAACAAAGCCTGCAGTGACATTTAATGTGCCACAGTGTTTGCCAACTACTGGAGACTGGCCAGCCTCATTACTGCCCGCCAAGCCCTGGACGCTTTTCAGTGGGCAGGCTGAGCAGCTCTGTAAATGTCAGGGTGAAAACCAAGATTCTGGGCCCTGAAAAGTGCCCAAGTCCTTGAACACCGGACGAGCAGGGCTAGTAAAACCAGAACCTTCCCCAGTGTGCAAGGAGCCCTTTGTGTCAGGAATCCTTGGTGGGTGTTTATAGGAGATCTCGCCCATACCTTCCTCTCTCTGAAGGAGGCACGATGGAGTGAAAACCGGGAGCCAGTACTAGCGAGAGGTGATAAATAACTGGGTCTGGCCACAGGTGGGAAGAAAAAGCCAAAATAAAGTGAAACCCAAGTGGATCCATGCCCCCTTATCAGATTGCTGGTGAGATTATTTCCGGGGACACATCGCTAATTGGGGGATGTGCTTGAGATGGCACTTATAAGGAAGGCCTTAAGGAGCCTCCACCCTGCAGGAGGGCCTCTGAAGCTCCCCGTTAGCTTGCCTCCCTGGAGGGAATACAGCGTTGGTTCCCAAACTTGAGCTTGCCCCAAGATCTCCTAGAGATTCGGGAGGTCTGAGATGGGGCCCAAGGACTGGCATTTCTGACAAATTCCCAGGTGATGCCAACGGTGCCCTCAAGGGACCTTGCTTCCAGAAACAATGGACTAGACACAGGGAAGGGGGAGCAGGAGTTCCTGATTGCGGGTATATGTGCACCTCTGCTCTTTCTTGAGTATCCATTCAGTGAAAACAGACCAAAAGGACGCAGGATACCGATACGAATACTTAGCAAGTGCCCCTTAGATGTTAAACATCGTTCTAAGTACTTTACATGGACTTGTTTAAAAGTCACAGCAAATTATGAGGCAGCTAAAAGTATTATCCCCGTTTTACGGCTGAGGAAACTGAGGCTCAGAGCAAAGAAACATCTCAATTTAGTGGAGATTAAATAGCTGAAATGGGATTGAAACCCAAATGATCTGGCTGTTCCTTGGGGGTTCCAGGCCCGTCCATCTGGGTTCTTGTTCCCTTATTTAAGACACACACATGCATGTACACACAGACACATAACTGATTTAATCCCCACTCCACGTCTGGTGGAAAAGAGAACCAATTCCTGCATCCACCGTCTCTCTGAAGATTCTGGGCGGTCGTCTCCAGATTCCGTTTAAGTTGTTTGCTTTGATGCTCTTCTTCCACTGAGTCCTCTTTCCTACGTCTTCCCTTATCTCCGGTCTATGTCAACCCATCATGGGATGGGACTCTTTTCTACTAAGTCCTTCCCTGCCCCCTAAAATGAACCCTGACTCCAGGCAGTGTCATTGCAGGTCGGGCTGGGGGCAGGGGGAGATTGGGGGTGTGGCCAGAGTTCCGCGCAGCGAAATCACGCTCTAATGTAGCACAAAAGAAATATATGCTCATGGAAAAACAAGAGGGGGCAAAGCTCAGGAGAGTTATCAGACGAAAAAGACAAGTTCTCCCTTCGCTTACGCTTGAATCTCAAGTCTTCTTTCTCTGAAGTAATCACTGTTAATAATTTCAGGTAGCACAGAAAACAAAAATTTAATACTAGGCACCCATTTTCTTTTAAAAAAATCCTTCGGTGTTGCCCACCCAGGAGCTTCTGTCTACACGTGTTCAGCCCCACCTCTCCCTCCTTTGCTGGGCCTCCCGCTCTCGTCCCTGTGTCTTCCCCCGGCTCTCAGGACACCTCTCTCGTTTTCTATGCAAGGAAATTCGGCCTCTCTGTGTCTCGCTCCTCCTCCTTCTAGACCTTGGCTTGCATCCTAACTTTTCACCACTGAAATAGCCAACCACATGACCGTTCTCTCTCCAGAGTTAAACTGCTTCCACCTCTTAGGCTAACAATCCATCCCACCGGCCTCTTCCCCTGGTCCACACCCGCCGACCGGCCCCCTTCCCCCCTGGCCCATGTCATAAACAGATGAAACATGGTCTCAGACCTCACAGGGCTTTAGTCTAGTCATGGGGACAGATATGGTCCAAAAATCCCAGCACAGTGACCTAGGTGCAGAAAGAGCAATGTGTGAGACTTGGGAGAATCAGAGTGGAGGCAATCTGCTCCCCTTTTCCCTTAGACTGATAACAGTAACGACGATCAGCAGCTAACGGTCGAGCCCTGAGTCTGTGTCAGGGCTTTGAAGCCTAGCAGAGGACCTCTGGGCTGACAAGCACTTGGTCACACTGGTAGTCAGTGTCTTCTCCACCTGCCCAGAGGCGGGCGTCACTGCCTGTATTATACGAATGAGAAAGCTGAGCGGCAAAGGCCGAGTAACCCATCCTGCTGGAGCCAGGATTGCAATCCAGGCTCGAATCCAAAGTTCCCACTCAGCCAGTGCTTCCATGGGCCCTCCTTCCTTCCCAACCTCATGTGGCTTTAGCCCTCAGTTGCCCAGAGTCCTGCCAGCCTCCTCAGGTCTGGGGCCTCAGGTGACCTTCTGCCACACTGCGCACCCTGCCTTCTGAGAGGCAGACATCATGGTTTGTTTCTACGAATGTTAAGTTGAATCACATGAAATGGCCAATGTTTGACTTTTTTGGAGTCATAGAAATGGCAGTTTTGTATGGTTCAATCCAATGCAAGGGACCAGATGAGTTCTGAGTGACTGTGTTCCCTTGGCTCTGTTCTTCGGTGAGAACCAGGACTTTCAGACAGTCCCACCATCTTCCTGCTAGAGGGTCTACACTGAGAGAAAGCAAACAGAGAGAGCCCCCTGGCAATTGCTTTTCTTCCAGGGAAGCAGACCAGGGCCTCCATGTGTAGCAGCTCAGTCAAGCCTGGTGGCCTCAAAACAGTAGCTATGTTATCTGTAGTGGGTCCATTCGGGGAGAGGTTCTGCTCTCACCTCTGCCCCCTTCTCCCAGGCTTGACACGCAGCATCTAGACCCAAGGAGAGGATCAAACACTCTGAAGCTCTTTTTACCAAGCAGCCAAAAAGCTCCTGAGGCCAGCAGAGTTTCATGAACAGTCGGGGCTGGTTGTGAGAGAAAATGAAAGCATTTGCCTGTGGAGAAATTTTCCACACGTGAACCATAAATTCCCATATCCTGCTTTTGGTCAGAGTTGGACTTCCCCAGAGTTGGTCAGACATTCCCCTGGTGGCCTCAAAAGCAAACCAAAAATTCTTCTATCTTCTGTCTCCTTCCATTTGCCTTCTCTCCCCTCATTTCTCAGCCAATCTTGAATAAGTTGGTTATACAAAATGTCTGCACTTCCTCTCATTCAATTTTCTACCCATGGTAAGCTGGCTTCTGTCCCTGCCTCTGTACTGAAACTATCCTTGCCAGGTCAGGAATGGCCTCTTTATGGCTAAAACCAAGAGACACTTCTTTTCCTTATCTTACCTGACTTCCAGGCAGTAATTGGCATCGTCCACCATCCTCTTATTTTGGAAACACGCTTCCCCCACCCTCTCCTAGTTCCCTTCCGCCTTTGCAGGCTTACTCTTCTGCCCATTCCTTAAATGTTAGTCACCTGCAGGGTTCTAGACTGTGTGTTCTTCTCCACATTGTTCAAATTTGGTTCTATGACTTTACTAGGAAGTGTGACTTTGGGAAGACACTTAATCTCTCTGGGCCTCAGTGATTTCATCTCTTAAATGTGGATAATAGTACTTTGAGTTGTAGTGAGGAGTAAATAAGGTAGTATCTATAAAGTACATCCCTACACATGTGAAGTTTGATATAAATGGTAGTTACCGTCTTCATCATCACCACCAGCCTTGGTCCCTCTACTTGCCAATAAAGGCAGATTCTTCTGGGCCATGAGATAAGTGGGTACTCAGAGCATTCCTCTTGAAGACTTTAGCACTCTGTAATTTAACAGCTGGTCAAGGGTGTTGGGTGCGTGACTCAGAACACATGCTGGGAGTGATCAAAAGTATATTTAAAAAGCAACAAAGTAGACCACAGCTATATGATGGACAGATAACACAACTGGTTGGTTAGGAGTGCCTCCACAGGAATTGTCCTATCAACAGGGGTCATGTTTTCAGGGGGAGACAGTAGCTTAACTAGGCATGTTTGGATGTTCTACTTAGGAGGTGCCAAAAATATATTTGAATTGACTTGATAAGATTAATACTAATATTGAGAATACACATCATATCATAATTAATGTTTTGTGAGTGTTTACTAAATGTCTGGAACTGTGCTAAGCACTTTGTTATCTTCTTTAATCTTCACAACAGTCCTTATGTAGTGGGCATTTTTATTCTTTCCATTTTATAGATGAGGCAACTAAGGCTCCCAGATGTCGAGTATGATCAGGGTTGTCTGACAGGTAAGGGGAAAAGCTGGCCTTTGAAAGCAAGTCCGGCTGCCTCCAGAGTCCAGGCTTTTTCTCAACTCCTGTCATGTGTTCCTTCTCCTACCCTTATACTGGGGCTTCTCTGCAATCTGCATGTCAAGTGCCTGATTTTGTGGGTGACCTCAAGATCCAGTCTTCATTCGTGTACAGACTCTGTCACCCTGAGGCAGATTCTCCAAAGCAGGTGGGAGGAGAAGAGCTTTCTGAGACGGAAAGATGCCCCTGAGAGTTGAAGTTGGGCTCTGATCTGTATTTTCTCATGGGCAACATCTTCCTGTTTGAAATCAAAAGATGGCTGGCTCACAAGCTCCTTGCAAGGGAGCCAGGCGAAATCTTCCTAGTGCAGCTTTGCCTTTAACTAATTCTAGTATCCTCACATTTTTTTTGGACTGAAGGTTAGAGTGTCCTGGACTAAAATGTTTCAGCAGTATCTTTACCTAAACTCCTTCCTTTTTTTTTTTTTTTGTAGTTTTCCAGCATCCTTCTCTTTAGGACTTTGAGAATCTCATAAACATGGTCAAAAGGACTCTTCACACTGATTTGAACTTATGGATGAGATAACACAACTTATTCTTCAGAGCTTAGTTTCCTGGTGCTGACCTTCTAAGAAAGAGTTATCTACCATCTTATTTTTTTGAATCACAGCTTGAGAGGCAAGATTTGAGGAAGGATTTCTCTGAACACTTCCTGGTTCAAGAGGCACTCTGGGAGATTCAATTATTTTAGGTTAATAGAGAGAGCAAGAAAAAGTGTTTTGGTTTTTCCAGGACACATAGTCACTACACATATTGGTCAGGGAGAAAACTGTGGTTGGGTTTCTTACCCCAAAGCTGTATCTGTGTAATGTGTATATTGCAAGGACACTGGGGTGCGGGGGGAAAGGCAGCATTAGTTTTGATCGTTACAGAAAGATGAATTATCTCTTATGGGAGAATTCACGGGTGGCCTTGCCTGTAGAATTAATAAATAAAATAAGCATACGTAAATTAGAGTCTTTGAGGAAGAGTTTAAATCAAGAGGAACGGCTGGACACAGCTAGGAGTATCTGGAGCCTGGGCACTAATTCCGAGATCCAGACACATTATTTCCCTCTAATTCTTCCTCCCTCTTCCTCCTTTTTCTTTGCTATTGTTTATTGAGTGCTTACCATTCATCAGACATTTTCCTAAGCAATTTACTTACATTATCTCATTTAATTTTCACACAAGCTTATGAGAGAAGTATGATTGTCGTCTCCAACTGACAAACAAGGAAATAAAGTCAAAAAAGGTGAAGGAACTTGCCCCAGATCAAGCAGAGGGAAAGGTAGAGCCAGAACTCAACCCCAGGTCTCTCTGGGTCTAGACCTTGACCTTTCAACCACCACGTCACACTGCTTCCTCACTAAACAATTTTTGTTCTTTGTCCCCAGGGACAGGATGAGAACTTCAGTCAATGTTGTGGGTGACTCTTTCGGGGCCGGGATTGTCTATCACCTCTCCAAGTCTGAGCTGGATACCATTGACTCCCAGCACCGAATGCATGAAGATATTGAAATGACCAAGACTCAGTCCATTTATGATGACATGAAGAACCACAGGGAAAGCAATTCTAGTCAATGTGTCTATGCTGCACACAACTCTGTCATAGTAGATGAGTGCAAGGTACCTTTCCCATTCATGGATATCGAGACCTGTATATAATAGTGCATGCTCAATTTCTTAAAACAAACACAAAATTCCTGCATGTATTATTGTCACATTTGTTCTTCTAAAGAATCATGTAACCCAAGCTTTTATGAGTCCCACGTCATCTAACTCTGTGTCTAACATGGAAGGAAATCAACAGGTCTAACAGTGAAAGAGCTAATCAGTTGCCTGTTTCATCCATGTGATGCGAAATAGTCATTCTGATTCCCCCATCCACCCACCCCACAAATTTGATTGGTTTTCTTGAATATTTTGCCCAAGAATTTGGTTTCCAGGGCTTTGCTGGTTTTCAAATATTCTGTTCCTTGAGTGAAACACCAAGAATAATACCCAGAATTATTTGATTTGTATAGCACAAGTATTCCTCCTTGCTGTATATCACATCTTGGTAAAAAATGTGCCCACACGACTTTGCGCAACCATCTTTCTTGTAATTATTTTTGTGGGAAGGTGAGTTTTGACTCAGCAGTGACTTTGCTCCAAGGATGGGGAATCAATTTCAAGTAAAGGATAACTATCCTTCAGGACAATTATCCATAGATATCTTTTAAAAAACACTACATTTCACACACTGCCTGGCGGCACCATCTTTCCTGAAACATGGATGTTTTGAACTCTTTTCTAAGCTGTTGGGTCTTAAGCCTTCAAGCTCGATGGGCTCTGTCTAGCCTTCATTGTAACTAACTTGACATTGTCAAAGACAGAGTGTCATGACCAGAGTGAAGCAAACTTGGAGAAACCCTGGCAGGTGAGCAGAGTCAACTTTGGGGGTTGGGTTGCTAAAATGGTTCCAGGCAGCTTCTGAGGACAGTCCAAACCCCATGCAGATTTCTGATACCCTTTGATTGCTGTTGACGAGATCTCATTTAATAGTCAATTTCTTCCTGGTTATTTCTGGGTATTCCAAATATACACCATGGCTTCTGCCAGGTAACTAAGGATAACACAGAAGCAATTCTCTTTACTGGACTGTAACTTACGTCCAGAAGTCCAATGGACCAGCCACAGTCTTTTGCTCATCCCCTCTATATCAGGAACGTGATACAAATTAGGGAGGAACCCCACGTGCTAGGAGGCCATTGCATAAATTGACTCAGTGAAAATGATTCAAATCATTAGAAATTCAGATGTACCTAAAGGGTATGCTCCATTCTCCTGTAAATTTGGTGTTTCCCACATCTAAATGAATGTGCCGGATTATCCGCCATCAAAATATTAGCTTGTGTCAACCAGGATCAGCATTCCCATGGAATGGCTTTATGCTCTATTACATTAAGTCTTTGTTGTGTGCCTTATGAGTTTTAATTGAGCACCCCCATCTCATTCCTGTGAGCTCCTATATTTTGATCATTCATCAAGTGTTTATGGACGGCCCATTATCTGCAAAGCCCTGAATTAGGCATGGGAGGACAGCAAAATGAATGTGCAATTTTGTAGTGGAGATAAGGATTGATCCCAAATTACTGCCATACAAGGAAACAGTAATATGAAACAAAGTGAAATCACCATATATATTCTTTAATTTTTCAATTATATACAAGAAGAATCCTAGTGGTTAATTACCTATAGGGTGGCCCATTTGGAGCTTCTCAAGAGGCTTCTTAACAATATTGTATGGGACACGTTTAAAGAAGATATAGAGACATGGTGTTTAGATTTCAGATTTCCTGGATTTTTTTTTTCTTAAGGGACATCAAGCACATGAGGAGAAATTCACTTTATTTTTTAAGCAAAACAATTCAAGCCCTAAAGGGAGATGTGAACTACTCCCATCCCTGGGAAGTAAGCCCATGAGGAAAGAGACTGTAGAGACCGGTCCCCACTGGTCACAGCTGTGTCCTGGCACCTGAAGCAGTGCCTGGCATGCACGAGGTGCTCTATAAGGATTTGTGGAATGTATCCTTTTAGCATCTTGACCCTATGCTTTATTTCAGATGACCTTTTTTTGCTGGACAATTCCATAGAAGTAGTGGCTCACTCTCTCCATATCACTGAATACCCAGCCAACCACCTGCAAACTCGTTGGGGAATTAGCATTCAGAAGGTCACATGGTGAAACTGAGCAGGTCATGGAAATGATGAAACGGTCATATTGGCTTAACAACTGTTCTAGTTCTTTGCGCTTCTTGATGAAGCGATGGGTTCAGCTCAGTAAAGGTCAGTTTGGTCCTCGGCCTTTGCTCGGGGAGGCATATTGGCTCTTCTCCCTCCAGACCAACTGAGCTGACAGCGATGTGGGAAGGAGGCAGCCAGAGCTATGGAGGTTAATTTGCACACTTCCCCAGAATATCTAAGTCACATTTCTTCATGCCTTTGAGCTTCCTCCTGGTCCATTCTCAGTCTCACTGTTTTAAAATCTGACACGGGAGACATCAGTGTTTACTGCCAGTTCTTTCCCCTTTTTCTTTTTCTATTACCAAGCTGGTTGGAGCAGAGAGGGATGGAATGGACTGCAGAATGGAGTCTGGACTCCTCTAACCGAGGCAGAAAAAGAAATGCCCAAAAAGCTGCTGTCCCAGCTACTTTTGAAACACAGGCCCCAGTATTTAAAAAAAAAAACAAAAAAACCCCAAAAAACTAACCCTGTCCCCCACTCCTAAGAGCTGTCTGGTTTTCCAAAGGCACCACACTGATTTATAATTTTGCACAGCCAAATAGGCCCATTCAAGGTTGCAGTGATCAGGCAGCTTCTCCAGGCAGACAGTCTGTCCCTGGCTGTCTTTCCTGACCGTTCACTGAAGGGGAAACAAATTTGCTGCAGCTCTGGTCAAAACTTTAACCCCCTCAGGCATTGTTATGTCACATTGATCTCTATTTTCAAACTCTTGCCTTGTAATAGTAGTTTGAAGTTGTGCGGTAGCTTTTTTATTTTGATCAGAATAACTGCATGTGGGGCAGTCATTGCTTCTTGCATGGTCTTTCTAAAAAAAATGTGGGGGCCTCATGGGGGTTGGCAGCATGAATAGTTTTTATTTTGATTTGCTTAGTTCGTGAAGGGCACTTGATTTTCTGTTCCTAGCACGTTGTGTGTGTTCGTAATGCATGCATCTCACTTCCACTTGATAAGAAGAAAGTCAGATTTCTTTCCAACATTGCTGCGTTTGTCGTGTCTCCATATCCCAATGCTTCCATAAATCCAGTCTCTCCATTATGTGGAATATCAGTCGTGGGTTTAAGTTTGCACATGACGTTGAGGACAGACAGATGGAAGGTAAGCTAGGAAAACTACTTAGAAGTGGAGGGGAGCAACCTCTTGTTCTGTGTAAGGGTTCAGTTCGCTTAGAGCCGGGGAAGCGTAATATAGACAGTCTGGTGATTATAGTTGGTCATTAAAGGGCTACATGGAAATGATTGACATATATTGACGTCACTGATCCCAGGCTTTTAATCTCTCCCTTTTCTCTTTAGTTGTTAAAGCCTGGACAGCTCGTTTGGTATCCAGGCCACCGTGATTTCTGATTTTAAATTGAACAGGTGTAAAATCCGCCTGGCCTCATTGCAGCTGAACCCTTCACATGCATGAGTAGCACTGGCTGCCTAGCTCTGGGGTCGTTTCCTCTGTGGTTGTCTGGAGTAGCACAAGGACACTATTCTTTGAGGACTACATTATTGTGATGGGTCTATCGGTGGTTAGACACCCGCACAACTCTAAAAGCGTGGTAGAAGTTATCCTCCAAATTGCAAAGTCTCTCTAGTCCCTCAACCCCCCCCCAAGGCAAATATGTATATTTTAATGTTCATGGATCCATGTTGGAAACCAAGTCCAGCTCAGAATCCATCTGGAAGGAATGACACTTAAAACTAACGTTTAAGTCGTGTGGTGTAAGCTGGATCTGGTGCTCCTCCACACAACCCACGGGGTGGTTTTCTGGTTCGTGACCTGTAAGCTGGATGTTGATGATAATTATTTTCAGGTAACTCTGGCAGCCAATGGAAAGTCAGCTGACTGCAGTGTTGAGGACGAACCTTGGAAACAGGAAAAATAAGGATCGGCAAATTCTTGAACAAACACCCCAGTATATCTTATGGTAAAAGAGGATACAAACAAGCTTTCTCTAAAACGGAAAAAAACGCATATATTTCTACGTTTACTTAATCTGTTAGCTGAGGCTTAGAGGACCTATTGTGGGTCGGTGGTAGGCAGGGTGCTGTGTCTTTGCCAAATGATGCTTCGTAACTGTCTAATTTCTCACCGTATTTTTGTTGGAATGATGCTGCTGGAGGGATCGGTTTGAACTGAAGACGCGTTCTTGCCAGCTTCCCTTTCCCCTCAAGATGCAGAAACGTGGATGCTCTTTTCCCAGGGGACACAGCTAAAGCAGTGTGGTCCCCTCCAGGGACTTGGGCTAACGGACAGATGCTCAGTGCGGTCTTCCTTCAAGCGTTCTCCATGCCTTGCCTTGTCATGCACAAGAGATTCTGTTAGAAGCCTCTAGAAGTAAATCGCATTAAATGTCTTGTAGATTTTGCTCTTATGACGATTAAAAGAAAGTAGCTGTCTTAGGGAACTTGGACAATTTATCTTCTGTCTACTCTTGAAGCTGAATGTTTCAAAGAGCATTGTGGTGGGAGCCACACTCTTAGAGGCGGCCAATTATGGAGCACTGAGTCTCTGCTCTTCCCCATCTAGTCTATGGAAACAACTGAAATTCCAAAGTATGCTTCATCATTTGCTCTAAATTTGATAATGGGTTAGGATGTAATTGGCACATATCCACTGTATATATTGACAATAGTAAAGGGGCACAGTCAACGTAAACTTTAACCAGATTCGAATCTTCAGATTTGGTTAGGTTTGGTTTGCATCACGCGGCATAGTGAAATGGAGTGAGTGTTCGATCTATGCTTCAATTTCTTTGTTTCATCCATCAAATTCTTATTTGGGTTTCCAACAAAAAAAGCCATTTTAATCCCCAAATTATTTCAGTCATATTCTTGTCAAACTAGAAGACTCATCATTTTGCTCTCCTCACACGGGGAGGACAGTTGGGTTGACTGTGCTCCTTTTAGTACCATCTCATGATAAAAACGGGAACAGAAACGAAATGCTGTTAGTTATCCAGTATGTAGAAAGTGTTTTGTTATATTCTATCAAAGCACGTAACCCTGGTTCTAGGACACAGTGGAAGCAGAGCCAATCTTCCTCCCCAGTCTTTTCTGTGCAAAGGAGCAAAGAACAAACATACGTGCAAAACGCTATAAAGGTGACATTCTGGTGGCACAGTCCAGGCAGCCTTGAACCATGAAGGGGAACACAGGATGACTCTACGCAGCTTCACGGACGGACTCTTTTCAAGGCTGTGAAAGTTTGGGGGTAAAAGTAATATAATTGGAGCAGCGCAGTGCCTTGCATCTCTAGGCACCCAATGACTCCTGAATGATTGATCATGCAAGCTGAAATTTTCAGTGTCCATACTACCATTTTCTATTGAGTAACCCACAGTATTTTCCTAAGGTTGCTGGCTTTGGGAGTTTCCTGAGGACTTGAACATGAATCATTGGGAAGTAAAGCACATTCAACCTCTAAGGAGTGTGTAGAACTTTGGTCCACATGTGGGAGTAGGGTGGTCATCCAAGGCCGGCAGGTGGACGCTGAGATATTCCTGAATAGTCAGAGTCCAGAGTCTCTGAGGAGAGGGTACTTATGGATACCACATACTCTTTATTACCTACTCCTTGTGACTTTTCTCTTCCAAATCAGATACTTTTAGAACATGCAAGAGGCATGAGGTTCCAGTTGTTTTTGTCTCTTAAGCCCTAGTTATTTTTGGATAAGGATCACTACTGAGCAGTATTAAGCAGCTTTTTGCTTTTATTATTTAATGGCATTGGTCTTCCCTTTCGTTAGATGGACAGTTGACAGAGTGGCCAAGGACATGCTGACATGTAGTAGTGGAAACTGCATCCTTTACAGCAGATGTTGTGGGTTAAGGGGACAGGTCCTGGATTTAGCTGTGAAACTGTTAAGGATTGTCTTACAGTGGTGCTCCCAAGACCTTTGTTATGGTGAGGAGAAGGATCTAGGTGAGGCATCTAGGAGCTTGTGGGTTTTGCTCTTTAAGGCCAGCTTAGCACCTGTACACACTAACGCGTTTCTAGAAGGAGTGGTCTCAGGATCATCTTCCCAAGAATCTGCCTGTAAGTCTTCTGTATTTCCTTCGTCTTCCGCTTTTTCCCAGTTATCCACTTAGCCTATAAATATATAAGGGGACAGTGCGTTCAGAAGGAACAAGGTGCACAGCTTTAACAAAGCAGGTGTTTTGAGTTGAGACTGTATGCAATAAGTTTCATGAGAATATACTTAGGGAAATCACATTTATCTGGAAATTCAACAAATCATATTAAAAGTAAACAAATTTCTCAAATTGAGGACTAGCCTGAAAATTCAGGATTGTATAAAGCTAATGTGACTGTGTCCTCTGTTTTTTTTAGGCCTCTTTCATTCTTCTCATGCCATGGCCGTTGGGGTTTTCCTTGCCCAGCATACGTGCCGTGAACAGAACAAATAGATGCAGAATGTACCTCTAACAACCTTTTTCTAAACAGGATATGCATCACCTGTCCGTTATGTGTAGAGATTTATATTAATAGGTCCAACACAGATAGGGATGCTTGTAATAGTCCATTAATATTTGATGATGCACAAATATTATATTTATATACAGACGTGGCAGGCCAGATATATACACTGCATCCTGTAAGGTCTGTAAGTCACGGCTTCAGCAACACCATTTTGTTGGAGACTCATTCACTCTTTTTAGGAATCAGAATCATTTCAGGAGAAAACCAACTAAGTAGACTTTAATCCTCCCCTTTCTCATTTGTCCCTGTTGAGAATCCCAAGAGGAATTATCCTGTGATTACCTACTACAATTCAGTGGCAGTCGGTGAGAGGAACGGCTTCTCTCTCGACGTGGGGCTTTACCTTGGATCTTTGAGGATGTGACTCCCACACAAAGAGCCTCAGAGAATGAAGGCAATCATCTAGATCACACGGCTTCCCAATATAGGACTTCAGGCGACGAGATCTGAACCAAGTAGATGTCAGATTCCGTTCTTTACTTCCTGTCGGGTGTGGAAACACAGACTGTAGTCTCGCTGTCTACAGAAGTTACCATGTCCCATAAAAGACAGATATTTACTTCTCCTCTCCATTTACTTCTGACTCCTGGTCAGCCTAAAGAAAGGGTGCCAAAATGCCTAGCTCCTGGATTTAGATTGGTGGGAGCTGAGAAAAACTTAGGGGAAATTCAGTTAATGGAGATGACTCCTGGGAGGTAATGACGGGAAACCCAACAACCAATTGATTAGAGAGTCTCAGGTTATTTTCACTTGTGCATGGAGAAGTATGTCATTTCTAAGTGTGTCTAGTCAAGAAGTCCTGGAGGAGTTGGGTAACTCATCTACTGGGTCCCCAAAAGGAAACCCAGTCCTGCCATGATTTTCAAATATTACACTTGCCTTTGTTCTCAATAGCAAAAATTATGGTACAGTATTTCATTTTTGACAGAATCAAGGGTTCTATCTGTGCTATATTTACACGTGAAATACAGCAGTAAATCCAAATAGGGGCTCATGCTCAGAGAGAATTCTCCATAACTCAGACTCTGGATAAACAAGTCCCAGCAGCTCGTGCCTGGTTTAATGAGTCAAAGCACTCTGCAGTTACACCCACTGGAGGTGACTCTTCCCACTTTGCTGCTCTTAAGCTCCCGGGGCCATGCAGTTGTCTGGGTTGCTGGTTTTGTTTTGCTTATTCTCCAGATGAATTCATTCCAAGCCAAGAGAAAGGACCAAGTGGGACTTTTCAGTTATTGTAAGACCTGATCTTTGAACATTAAAGTCTGGGACCCTAAGAAGATTAAGTTTAAGCAAAGAGCCTGAAGGAATTCTGAAGTGAGAGTTTTGTAAATCCAGTTGTCAGAGAAGATTAATGGTCTCAGTATCTGTGGTAATTCCTGGCTAAAACCTAGAAGAAGGGCCATTGAGTTCCAACCCAGGCAGAATGCACTGCAGTCGGATTATTCTCCTTGGGTGGAGTGGGTTCAAAGCTGCTCACGTAACATTTGCTTATGATTTTCCCTGAAGGAAAACCCAGTTTCCCACTCTTCCTCCTCCTCTCTTTTCATTCCACTTATCATCATTGCTGCTTAAAACACAATTTAATAAATTATCATATGCATTATTTGCAAGGGTTAGTTTTAGACTAGATGACAGAGAATCTTAATTGAATAGTATCTAATTTAACAGTGTAACGCAGCAAATTCAGGTAATGGCATAGAGATGAGGAGAAAGAACGCAGTTGGGTAGAGGAAACATTTGACTTAGACTCTGCCAATCTTCAGCTACAGAGGTCACACATGTCACTTTACACCCAAGCCCCATTTCTTCCCGTAGGTCAAGTGAAAGTGTTGGATTAAATGATTAAAATCCCCTCCCAGCCCTATTATCTCTGCTTTAATTTCTTTCATAAGAGGTTTACTACTATAAAATTTTACTCATTTATGTTATATTTTAAGTCAGAGGGAACCACCATAACAAATAGTTGCATTTTTCTCATCTTACTTGGCGGAAATTAAATTCAAGGCTTTCTCTCCATTTGATGTTTTGCAACAGGCTTGCAAGATGGCCATGTTAGTCTACGGTTTGGTGTTTCGGGACACAAACAGACGTCCTTCTATAAAACTACCCTTTGCCTAACTCACTGTCCCAGCAGAAGTAGCAATTGAGCTCAGGCAACGATGTTGCCAGAGTCACCGTGAGGGGACTAGTTGACTCTCAGCCTCACTCAAGGCCTTGCATCCTTCCTTCTGCGGCAACAGAGCCCACTCCGAATGCCCAAAACACACAGTTTTCTCCAAACGTCCCTAACTGTCAGCCAAGTATGGGAATTTGGGAGTCTTTGGCCAATAAACTTGAACACTCTTATGAAATTTGGTGCAAGGCTTACACAATAACAGCAACTGTCTGTAAATACCTTGTCTTTCCACCTATACGCAGACACGCACACCCATGCACGCAGTGAGCCTGGGCCAGGGCCTCTCACTGGAGAGATATGCAGGGATGTTGATTGAATTCATTTTCAAGTTTTTCCACCTGGTTTGCCTTTATCGTGGGCATGATGGCACAGGTAGAGAAGCTCTATCTTACGAGAATGGAGTTGTGCTGGCTATCGTCACCCTCTTCAATGCCCAAGGAGTTTCTAGGGTAGATAAAATGCATGGTTTGTCTGCAAGGGGCATGTCACCAGCCATGGCCTTTGACCAACCTCTGGCACTTTCTGGTACTGCTGTAATGGGCCACTACTTGCATCCTTGCTCTTTGTCCAAACTTCTGCTAAATACAGAATAAGTTTCGTGTTGTGTTGTGAGCACCTTTATTGCCAGCGAAGACTTCAGTGCTTTAGATTGGAGGAGTGAAATGTAAAGCTAAGACTAAAAGGATTAGGTTAGTGGGGTTTTTTTTGTTTAAATTTTTAGTGCAGAAGACCCGATGGAATGGCGGCAAGAAAAAGACTATTTCTTAACTGACCCGTATAAGACCCTACCGAAGAGTAAGGGAAGCCCCCAACCTCTTGTTTCACTCTAAGTAATATCCTGAATGATTACTGACCAGTTTTTTTCTCTGCCCAGCTTTGCTTCACCTTCCTACCTCCAGACCAAGTATCTATTTTGATATTTTAAAGAGTCCTCATGATTGTTATGCAGGATGCTTTTGTGCTGAGAATAAAATCTTCTACTGGAACTGAGCCCCCTGCTTTGCAGAGTCAGCACTTGACCCAGAGGATGGATAGCAACAGGTCCCTGGTTCCTCTGGAGACACCCTCATCTCTGGGTAGGTGTTGGAACATAACAGTTGGACTGTTACCCTGCCATCATCCTCCGTGGAGATGGGGATGATGCAGGAGGAGCCTCCCTCCTTCTGGGGCTCCGTTTCTCCTCATGGCAACCGTTTAGCCTGCCTAGAAACGGCCTGTTGCCTTGGGTAGGAGAGAAATGCACATGCTAGCTAAGGAAGTTGGTCTAACACATCTCTGAGGTTTCTCCCCATGGAGATGTGTGATCAGAAAGCTGGCACTCTGCTTGCTTAAAACTCCATGAGAGTTATTTTTCCTACTAGGCATCCTTTAACATCCAGATTTTTCCATAAATTACCTGAACTCCCTCCTTTCCTCCTTCCCCTGGGAAACCTCAGCATTGCATCTCCACGTTGCACAGCACAGATCAGGTTATCTGGTCAATATAGAGATTTGTATATAAAAAACTACTTTTGTGAGGATTTTTGTATACTGTTTTTCTATTTGTTTTCTAAGGCTTGAGGAAAGAGCTGGCAAACTGTGAATCTAATTTGACCTTGCTGCCAGCAGATATATTTTAGCTTCCTGGTATGAATCTACGTTACCGGGGACGATATATTGCCCTTCGATCAGTATTGCACCCCAAATTCACAAATTCCTCCACCCAATCTTCCATTCTTTTTAAAACAAATCCCTAGGCTCCTTTGCTATTATTTATAAAGAGCATGAGAAAATGTATTTATAGTCCTGGATAGTATATGTTTAATATTGATTTAGCCTTTAATAGTGGTATAGGTTTGTATCTATTCTTCATAAATCATAAAGAACTCAGTGTAGACTGAATTAATCTATTTAGTATCTGTAATTTTGCAGACAGATATTTTCTTATGGTATTTTCTATAAATCCACATATGTAGAATTATAACTAATCAGAGCACAGGAAGTTTCTACAGCAGTTTAGAACTATCAGTTCTTCCCTGAGCATACAGGCATGTTTGAGAAATTTAAGAACCCAGCCCTTCGCCATGCGCTGAACAAACTGACCGTAAGGAACAAGGCATCGCTTAAATCCCCTCGCTGGTTAGGATGTGCGTTTAAGCAATTAGTCCTTTTAACTCGAGGAATGGTGCTGACTCCTTACTTTTGACATCAGGCCTGTTTTTCCAGCTAAGCATTCTAATTTTGCTTTTTTGAAGAAGAAAAATAAGGCGATAACAGTGGGATCCTTTCTGTCTCAGAATCTCCCATGCCTTCCTAATTATTTATGTGAAAATTGGGTCAGGAAAACCTGCAACAGCAGAGACTGGGGTGAGTGCTGTGAAACAAATCAGAACAGATGTATAATTCATTCTTGCCAAGAAAGTTGGTAGTAAATGTCACATTGTTATGTGAATTGAGCACATATTTTTAAGACAAAAAAATCATTAGTACCAGCTATGAAGCAATACTCTATCACTGGGGCTGGAGGAGGGGCCTTAGGGTCACGGTGAAGTTGTTTAGAAGCAGCCCAGGTGGATTCCGTCCTCAGGTGAATAACAATCTATGTAATTTTCCCAAAAGGCAAATCAATAGCCACTGCCAAGACAGCAGCCTTCCTTCCGCCAAACACACTTTCTGATATGGTTGTAGGGCTAGTGCTTTGTCATGTTTTAAAAAAATAGTCAGTTACATAGAAAGCTTATTGGTATGTATATTAATCTGCTTCCCATTAAGCAAACAGATTCAATGTGCCCTCAACTAGCAATGATTGTTTGTGTGGTTTTCCAGGGCAGATAGCTGTCCGAGCATGAAACTCGTGTGTGTACGCAGTAACACTTGGTTCACGCATGAAGAACAGTGCCTACGCACTTGGTGTAGCTATAATGTAGATACCTATGTGTAATTTCAGTGAAATGGTGTATAGCTGTATTGTAATTTAATTTAAATGTTATTTTTGGCTGTTCATTTAAATGTAGTAGATGTGTGGATTGCCATTTTGAAAACCCTTCTTTTCCTTCTTAGTTTCCTAGTAGCCAATCCTTTCTCCACTTTCTTAATGTGATTTGGGGTTGTATATCAGTGAAGAACTTATCTATGAATCCTTTGTACCGATGGTTGTTTGAAAGCCTGTGTGTGTCCAGCATCTCTGTAAATACGCAATTCAGGGCACGGGAAACTTGGATGCGTGTCATGATTCTTAGTGAAAGGTCACTGGCTGTCTGCATCACGCCTGGCAAACGCAGCTGTGGAACTTTTGATGATCTAGCCTTAGGTAGGTTTAGAATGAGGACATCTCTCTACAACCCTCCTTCGCCTGGTAGATTGGGCTCAGAGAGACAGAAGGTTAGTCTGCTTCTGTGTTTTTTATCATGTACTTGTCCAGGTAAAAGTCTGCCTCTCTGCTTGCCAAATACTGATCGTGATGTTCCTGACCTAAAGGTTCCGAAGAGCCTTGTCCCCTTCGGTTTCTTGAGTCAGGGTACAGGAAAGACATTCACTGACTGACTGCCATGCCAGTGGAATCCCATAAAAGCACAATCTGGTAGCAAAGTGCACAGTTGTCTGTAGAAAGCTAGAGCAGTAGAAGCACAAGAACCGTCAGTGTTCAGCTTTGGGGTTGCAGAAAGGCAAATGATGAAGCACAGATCCCATATATGTGAAGGGAGTATGACCTCTACCTGATAGCTCTGTGTGCATGTTTTGAGTGATTGAAGATGAGGTTAATTAATGCAATTATACACTTGTCTCCTAAAACACACTTTCTGTCTAACGATCACTAAATGGAATGCTGCGGGGTCTATCGTTCCTGTAACTCCCTTCTCCTCTGCAAGGACAGAGAAGAGTGGCCATGTGCAGTTTGGAACATGAGTGCCCCTCTCTTTTCACAAGAGGAGTGAAGTCTAAGAGATTCCCTGAGGGCACAAAGCATATTGATTCTCAGTGGCTTCTCCAGTGATTGGAGTGAGGGGGTATCTATTATGGACAGACAAATTTTTCCTTGAAAATGTGGCTTCTTCAACTCCTGCCAACTCAAGATGGAAAGCTTAGTGAAAGAAAGCTAGCCCTTTGGCAGGATTCCTTTGGGAGATTCTTGTATGTCCAGAATGAAAGATAACAATGTTTCCTTCACATTCATAATCTCCATTGGTCTAAAGTCAGGTAGCACATAGCATCTACAGCACATAGTGTTTAAAGACTAATGAATGCAAAACAATGAAAAACTTCAACTAACTATTGGGTTGTTTCTTATACATGGTACTAGGAAACACCTTGTTGGCAAAGCGCACTTAGGGTAGTTGAGGTCTTTGGTTTTCACCTTTAGCTTTCTAAGCTTTCTTACAATGTGGACTGATTACTGTAACATTTCATGTATAAAATAACTGGACATTCTTTATATACTGGAAATAATCTGTGAATCCAATATTTCACTAAGTGTTTTAACTTTTCTGTATATATCTCTCATCAATAAATGTGGATTCCAATTTCTCCTGGTTGTTGCCTCTCCTTCAATTTCCATTTTAAACTAGTGTTGGTTTCACAGCAAAGGTCTCCAGTGTTCCTTTTGGAGAATTCTGTGGATTGAAAACCATGGTGTCCAGATGAATATTTTCTGGGAAGCCTAGATACATAGTGGAGTCATATCTCATGACTTAAAGTTAGTGAGTTGGACAGAAATGATGTATAATCGAAATTATCCCTGTGAATCAGCCCGTGTGGGCTATCCCCCAAATCTCAGGGGCTTACAACAACGAAGGTTTATCTCTCACTCCCGTGACTTGTCCATCAGAAGTAGGCTGGGGACTCTGCTCCATGCCATTCTCACTGAGGGAATCTGAGTGAGACATCATCTCTATGCTTCTGCAGTTGTCAAATCCAAGAAAAAGGGAACATGGCAAATCTTACACTGACTCTTAAAGCTTCCTCCTAAATGTTATGAACCTCACTTCTGCTCATATTTCAATGGCCGGAGCAAGTCACATGGCTCTACCCAACTTCAAGGGGTCAGGGAAGTGCAACCTCACCAGGTGCCCAGGAAGAAAGCTAGAAATAGTTGGTGAATAACTCTAATGACTACCAGGCCATAAAAATTCCTTAAATCATTCATAAAGGATAGTATACAAACATATAGTCTTTCAGTAAGTCCAACACAGCAAGCTTTTCTCTGCTATTGGAAAAGCAATGACTATGGAAGTAGGTGGCAAGCATTTAACAGAGATGTTGTAGAACTGAAATGCGTGGTCTTCAAAAGTAGGAGCACACGCAGAGCGATGCGCTCCTCAGGCAGTGAAAGTGTACACACGGGCATGGAGACCCACCAAGGGAATGGCGGGCTCTTCTTTCAGACTCCGGGGTAGCCATGTATCAAGCAGAATGGCCTGGGCTACTTCAACTGTTCTTTTACTTCTTTTGAGAGAAAGGAGGTAAACATTTGATTTTAAGTAAGTAAAATACATAGATGCGATACATCACAATTCTTTCCACCGATGTCAGCAATTTATTTAAATTGTTGTTGAAAATGGACACTTCCTTTGAAAAGACACTTTTCCTTCTTCCCCTGAAGTCAAGTCTACATCACATCCATATTCAAAATGTTATTAAAATCTTCTTTACAGAAAATACGCTCATCAGTAAATTTTGGGGCTGCCGTTTTCTTTTAAAAAAGCAAAGAGCCGCAACTCAGAGTTTAGGTAAACCTAACACTTTAGTGTGGATGCAGTTTGGTCAAAACCAGCCACTGCTTCAGAAGAGGACACAGCCGGAGAGAAACTTGACTTTACCTACTCAGATCCTTGTGTTCTAATTTCTTACCCTTTCTTCCAGAACAAAGGTGTTTAAGCCATGCATTGTTATTGGGAAGGCCAGTTAAATGTTGCTTTTACTTACCAGGGCAAAGATGAGGAGAAGACGGAGGGGGAGGAGGAGGAGGAGGAGGAGGAGGAGGGGGAGAGGGAGAGAAGGAGGAGGGGAAGGAGGAGAGGGAGGAGGGGGAGGGGGAGGAGGGGGAGGGGGAGAGGAGGGGAGGAGGGGGAGAGGGAGAGAGGGAGGAGGGGGAGGAGGGGGAGAGGGAGGAAGAGGAGAATACTTTTGGAGGAGAGAATGGAAAAAGGACTCGTGGACTAGGAGTTATGAGACTGACCCCCCACAGTCACTAGAGTTGTGCAAATATGACCACCGTCGCAATTTGGAAGTCATGTCGGCATATGTAAAGTTAGGAGTTTGGATTCGAAAATTTCTAAACTTTTGAACCCTGAAATTTGAATTCTATCAGCCAGCTGAGTCATTATGACTTCAGATAGTTTTATTTTTTAATCTTAATATCTTAACATAGTATCTCACACATACCAAAGAATATGTATACCCATATCTACGTTATAATGCCCCCTGATACCGAAGCACACAACCCATTACCCAGTGCAAGGACGACAGCATCACCAATAATCCCCTTGCCTGTGTGCTTCTCCCTTATGCCCGTCACCTGCTTTACTCCCCAGAGGAAACTGCCGCTAGGAATTTATCATTCCCCTGCTTTCAAAGAATAGTTTTTACCTCACACGTACGCATGCCCAAACAAGCTCTGCTTCTTTCTGAGCTTTATATGAAGGGTATCGTAGTGCACACAGTCTTTCTGAACCTGCCTCTTTCCTACTTAACACTGCCTTTCTCAGTTCATTCACGTTATTGCGAGTAGCTGTGGTTCATTGACTTTCACTGCTGTATAATAATACAGTGTGTGAAATATGGCACACTTGGGTTGTTCATTTTCTTGGCAGTGGACATTTGCCTCATTTCCAGTTTTTTCCTATGTCAGACAGTGCTGCAGTGAACATTCTTGTATATTTCTCCTGGGTATATAACCAAGGGAGGCTTTGACACATGTGTTCCTAGATACAATTAAAAGAAAAGAGTGTGTGTGTGTGTGTGTATATGTGTGTGGCTGAAAAGTTCCCAATCAAATCTTCTACCTATTTCTCCATGGCTCCTTCAGAGGGCCCGTTTGTGGACCACTGTTGGAACCCCTGGTAATCAATACTCTGCTGGCTATTTAACGGAGTCCGTCTCTCAAGTGGGAATACAGAGGCAGGCAAAATCGGAGCATTTTTAGGAGGTGAATTTAAATTTAAAGCTGCAGGCTTCTCTCCTCCAGCTCACATGGCAGCACCTTGGAGCGCAGCTCTGATGGTGGTTAGACAGAGCCCGTGAAGTCTTTGATCTCTTCTTTGAGCGATAACATGCCAAGCTCCGCCCCACCTCAGCAGGCTGTCTGCTATACTGAACAGCCGTTTGACAGAGGAAGTTATAGGACGTCACAAGAAATCTGTCCACCTACCCCAAAAACCACTAGTACCCCCTTTAGCTATACCCCCTTGCACTGCAGTGGGCGACTGTGGAAGCATTAAGGCCAGTGTCTCTGAAAAGGACAAGCTGTGTGGCTGCCATCTAAGGCACCTTCAGGGTACCTCTCCTTCCAGGCACAGTGACATAAACAGGTACTTCAAAGAACCACAGGTGACAGAAGGTTCAGTCACCTCCAGGGAATCTTCCATGAGGTGCCGTCCCCACTTGTCACCTCTCAGCCCAGACAGGAAGGCATGGGTGGAGAGGCCCACACGTTTGACGTGAGCCGTGTAAGAATAGAAGACTGCGGAGTTCCTGGCAAAAACACAAGTGTTTTTAGCTTAATACCTTTCTTCCTGTTAGTTTTTTAAGCTCAGTTAATTCATCTTCCCACTGAGGCAGTGGGAGGCCATGTTTAATTCCCATGTCATTGTAAGAAAAACTGAACCACAGCGTCGGGCTTAAATTCAAGAGTATTGGTTGAGTCCACGAACATAAAGAGAACAAAGCTATTCAACGTAAATACTGTTCTTACTCTCAAACATTTAAAAGCAACAACTTTTAAACTCTTACAAATTCCATGAGGCAGACACATGAAACGTTATTGCGCTCCTCCCCCATTTTTTACTGTGTCGGAATGAATACACAAAATCTCAAGATCTATTTTTGTTCGTGATTCGGAGTAATCGGTTTTTAGCCTTCCAAATGTTGTCTGGAAAAATCCAGTGGCCTTCAGTTAAGGAAAAAATAGAACTGTGTCGTCTGTGGTCCACTCCTTTTGCCGCATGACCTGGCTTTCCTGGAATTCTCCAACCGCTCCCGTCACTCAGATGTTTTCCAGGCCTAGATAACATGCCGCTCGCAGAGGGAAGCGCCAGAGTTTCCTAACTACCTCCATCTGAGTGAGGAGTTCAGGTGGAACACCGTCTCCCTTCTCCAGTGGCTTACCCTCCTGCCCACAAACCTTCCTCTCATCTTGCTGAAGAGGACAGAGATCATTTCAGACTGTAAGGCCAGAAAAGACCTTGGAGAAGGATTACCCGAAGTGTAGCCATGCCTTTTTGCATATGTGGAAAATGATACCCTAGGTTAAAATGAATTAGAGGTGATGTAGTGGCAAGCCAAGGTTAAATCCTGGTTCTATCCCTTTCCCAGCTATGAACCAACGGATTGTTTACTTAGCTTCACTTTTCTCATCTGTGGAATGGGGCTAATCATGCCTGTGATATAGGGGATTTGACGAGAGAACATCCATAAAGTAGTTAGCGCAGTTCTTGGCACATAGTAAGTGTTCCATCAATGAGAGCTATCATCATCATCATCATCACCATCATCATCATCATCATCACTGTTATCATCCTTGGCATTATCAATCACAACTTCCTGGTGACTAAGCTGGAAGAAGCCATGCTTGCTCTTTCCCAATTTGGCCTCTTTTCCAACCATATCACATGGACATCAGCATGTAACTCACAGCTCATCTGGCCTCCCAAACATCTCAGATTTGTTGATAGACCGTGACCTCTCCTGACTCAGCCTGGGATAACCCTAGTTTTACTCCTAGAGAAGCTTCCAGAACATCACGAGCCTGGGCTATCTGATGTCCCAGATGCCCCTCTGCACTTTCATCTGTTACTTGCCAAGGTTCTGATGCTTGGCAGTGAGGGAAGTCGCTGGATCTCTTCAGGGAAAGGAAGTGAGTCTCAGCCTGGCCAAAATGGCCTCTCACCAGGATGGGAGCCTGAGCTGGCTCTTCCAATGGGAAACAGGACATCCAGAAATGAAGCAATTCTTTGCTTCACTGGAGAAGTCCCTCGGGGAGCCCCCAGCTTACAGTGTTGCATGTACTAGCAGAGACAAAAGTCATGAGAAAGGCCATTTCTGTGGAATGTCCTTTTGGGAGGGTCCCAACCCAGCAGGACCCTCCAGAACTCCTTTGGCTGGGTCGATTCCCAGCAGCTTCCCTTCCCATCATGCTATTCTCCTTTCCCCCGTCTTCTTTCACAAATGACATTTGCCTTTTTCCCTCAACGGTTTCAAGAACAGGACTTGGGAGAAACTTTTTGGTTTGGGGAGTCATACATTGCTGTGCTAGAATCATCTCAAGATGGTGCCCCTCCACAGTTTTCAGCAGCTTCGGGCAGGACCAC